CTATAGTAACAATATAAAGTTGAAGCATTATATAAAGGTGTGCTTGAATGTTATGAGCAACAAAATGTGGGGACATAAAGAAATGTGAAGTGATATGGCATGACTAAAAGTAGCCACAATACACTACATCCGCAGCTAGAACTTCCTAGAACATAACTTTATGCAACGTTTTTAGCGCTCAGGTTTATATTTTTTCATTTTACATAGATGCCCGACTATATAAAATGGAGTAATATCTTATTTACCATACATACACTTTTGCTCTCCGTTTTTTTCACAAATATAAATAGCAATCTGGTGCAATTGGAGAGAATAATGTAAACCAATGCAGAAATGGGAAAATTCGCAAGTTCTGTGTTATCTAGGCGTCTTTTTAGAAAATCAGCATGCATAATTAATAACCTATTAAGTGACATGTCTAAGAAATACCCTTACTTATTAGCTGCAACTTTTAGTTGAAGGGTCAAGGTCAAGAGATCGATTTAAAATAAAACCACGGGTCACCGACGGTATGACAATTTTCTTGAAAATATTTAAATTTATGATCGTGTTAATCAATTGTTGGACATAAAGTTTACGAGATCGATTAACATGGTGGCCTTTAGAGCTTACCTGGTTTAACGGTGGACTCATCTTGGTTAGGATAATGATTGTGATGATAGATTAACTTTCGTATCCAAAATACCGTCATTGACATTATTTTGGTTTATATAGACCTATAAAATAAGTGAATTGCGCAATTTTTGCAAGTTATAAAAAATTATATTCCCCTACTACCTTTCATTTAGCCCGAGGGTGGTATTTAAAATAATTTACAATTATGTGACACCCAACTTTATTCTTTTTAACTCACTTTACGATTCATTTGTCAATCTTTCAAATGCTTTGCATTTATTGTCATACCTGATACCTGAGGTAGCTTTCTTGAAATTTATAAAAGGTATAAGATAAATTCATTAACAGGTTACCTAGCTCAAGCAGTGAAATTATAATCCAAAATAAAGTTAAATTTGGGGTGATTTTGGTAATGGAATTCCATAAGTTAATTTGAACCGTGAATTTATGACTGAGGCGCTGTATTTTTGCAAGAGAAGGCTTTGAAACAAATTGTGTAACAGCAAATATATCGACCGTTTTAGGGAATAAATATTTTTTTACTGACAAAGACAAATTCCTGTGCAAGGACATTTGTATGTAATAGTGGTTACTTCCTGCGAAGTAATTAAAGGGGAGGTTATAAAAATATTAAAACATAAAATTACCGAGTGTATCTAGGGTTCAGAGTCCCTTTGCTGAGATTTAATTAATTAAGACATAAGATAACGTGTTCATTCCGTGTCCATTGTCCACAATAATGAATTTGTTGGAGTTATTAAACTATCTGTTAAATCTCTGTGTTCAGGCTTAACTCAAGATAATGGACGCTTATTTACGATACCGTTATTCAAATAGTTAATTGTCGTTTTCAGTGTAAATTATTTTAAACGTTTAAAGTTATTTATTTAAAGTATTCACATATTTGAGTACTAAATTGTACCCGTCATATTACATAATTATTATCTAATAAATCTAGTACAAGCGGCATGGCTATAATGGCATAGTATAAATTATTATATTATTATATTACAATATAATAAGATATATTATACGTTTAACTTTGTAGTTTTATGTTAGAGTTGACCCAATTTAACTGCGATAAATTATTTTATCCTTTTTATTTTGATGCATATGATTAAATTCAATTTACTTTGTTACGTATTTTTATCTTTCTGTTATAATCCGAAATGGCTATTTATTATGTGTTTGTATTGTCGGAGTTTGCTTAACTCTGCATTCATAGTTAGAAGCGTTGCATCTATAAAACTTTTCTATTTTGTAAGAGTATTATTTATTTGAAAAATTGCAAATCAAGCAATGTAATTATTTTTCAATCTGGGGGACTCAGTCATGGCTGCAATATTGACTTACCATCTGCATGTATCGTTTATTATGGTTGAAACCGCCATTTCCCGATTCCATAAATTCTTGCTACAATTACTAAATGCGCCCAATGGTTACTAGTACCGGTCATATAGAGATTATAGTGTGCTCCAACTTAACTTTAAGATATTGATATTTACCTTAAGGTAGTTACACCGAATCGAATACAGGACTCGCGTCGCTGTAGTCTATTCCTTAATAACTGCGTCAATCTAGTCTCATAGGTTTATTTAGTTAAGCGCATATGGTAAATTAGGGTAAATGTCTTTAATACACTCACAGTCAAGCACGTACATTCTGCTCCCTGATCATGAATGTCCCACGTAACATAATCAAATCACGTATTGGCATTTAATAATCGTAATCACGTAAACTAATATGTAATTATATTAGTGAATGACATCTGGCAATATTACATTATGGAAATTAACACTATCAATTGATGTTAATAATCTTTACATGTTATTACTCAAAGGTGTTTTTCTTGTTACGCTATAACTTCCATTACTCTTCTAAAAAACTTGAAGAATCAGAGTCCGCCGTGGATTAGCAGATTGCATAAATGTCTGCAAAATATTTTTTATTATTTCTTTGTGATGTAGGTTTCCTCAAGATTTTTTCCCTTTAGCGCCGAGCACACGGCAAATAGTAATTAAACTAGCAATTAAAAATATTTTTGTTTCTTAAAACCCGGACGCAAAGTTACTACGGCCCGTAAAAAAATAATAACAAATAGTAGAAAAATAATTCAGTACTATTGCAGTAAACATTATTAAATGATTACTAAGCTGGCGAAAAGAATAATTCACAGTCATATTATAAAGCGAAAATAAATAAAGAGGAAATCGGTCCAGCACTTGTTAATAATTTGTTGTTTAAAAGTTATCAATTAGGTATGTTTTTGTTTTGCTATTACTTCGAGAAAATCGATTTCCTTTCGCGCGAACTTCATCGCTGTGAAAACTTTGTCGCTGTTCGAAGGAATGAATACTGTAAGTGGTTCAGAAATACAATTTACATGCATTTCAACTTTAGAATTGCCTTTATTTAGAAAATGCAAGTCTTGGAGTTGTAACAGAAATTAGAATTTTTATAATAGTTTAGAAGCGAGCAATAGTTTTAGTTTTTTATAGATATTTCATCAAAGTTACTACAATTTTTTTTTCTATGAATTTAATTGCACATAAAAACTTAAACCACGGAGTACAAAGATATATAATATCTATGCAATTTTGTCCAATAGTATCAAAAACACTTAATATAATATAATCTCAGATTCTTGAGCTATTCTCTCCTATTGGAGAGGAAAAAATAATAATATTTTAAAAATAATATTTAAATCAAAAACAACCTATTGGTAATTAAAAAACATCATACTTTTTATGGCAGTCATAATGAAAAGTTAAATAAGAAATAATTATAAATATACATAAGAAAGAAGAAACAGCAATTATAAATGTATTAAAATCTTTACGACTTCATGTTTATTTGAATTCAATGTGATTTTGCGTTGCGAATTTATTATTTCGGGACACATTTGTTAGGGTTTTTAGTATTTAGTTCTATAATGTCACTAACCGGAGCAAAACCAAATGAAGCTTATACAAAAAGCTCGTGGTTTGTTACGATAAACGTAAAAACCTTGCACAATGAAACCCTTTGAAGTCGTATTTGAGAAAGCTAATTCACTGATCGGATTAGGCAACAAAATTCACTTTAAATTGCCCGATTTCAATTAATTACACAGACGGGTCATTAAATTTGGCTTCATTTCGGACGCTCGACCTTAATGAAATTTTACCTATCATGTCGCACTCACAGCATAGAGGAAAATGATCGACGTGACCCAATTCAACCACGAAGTACTCTGCTGTATCTAGAGCGCGTCATCGTTCACCTATATCAGTTTTTAGTCCTTTCCTTGCACTAAGTTGCGTCGAAAACATCGACCTGCGAATGTAGACGTTTCGTATAATTCTTTAGCCATCCCATTGTTCATCAGAGAATATCCCTAATATTCATAAAAGCAGCTACAGCGGCGAGGAACTTCCTAACGCGAAGGAAGCCGGCGTAATTTTAACCTCAAATTGTTGTTTTTTATTCTATTTAAAAATGATTAATCGGTCTTTTATGGCGCGAGCGTATCGCGACTTTTGATAACACGATACGTTAAACATTGTTTCCAATGTATAACAGCCTCGTTTCTAGATTCTATCAATTACCATTGATTTTTTTTTATAAAATAAAAGTCAGCTAGCCTCCGCTGAACTCTAATAACAAAGAAAGATAGAATAAAATATATGTTTATTTCTGTAAATATAGTACTCTAATGGTAACAATAAGTATATTGTATTATATTGCTTTTATAATGGTTCACATACGTCGTTAAGCCGTTTAAAATTAAACTGTTATACGGATTTTATCTTTGTCTGTACATGTTTGAAATTTCTTGAATTTAAAAAAGTTAATATTTTTTTCCTTATTTGCACGAAACAAATCTTTATTATATTAACTATCAAGAAACTAGTTTATAATTGTACTTCGTGATATTTTTTGTTATAAGCTTTAATAGCAACACGGTATAAACGATATTTTAGTGGTCTGTAAGTTGCATAAAAAAGACTTCTTGAATACAACAATTTTAACGCTATACGAGCACATAATTTCGTTGCACTAGCGTAAAATCCAATAAAACCGCTGGTTGAATTTCCCGATAGACATTGGTGATTGCTTTAAAGCTCTGCTAAATCTTCTTTCTCGATTTCCAATATAAAACTGTAGAATCATTCTAGATGACAGTAAAAATAATAGCACCGCGGTAAATATTGCACGGTAATATGATAACTATATCTACATATATGTGAATTTTTTATGCAACATATTAGGCTTATTGAAATTTATGAAAAAATCACAACTTCTTTGAATATTCTGATCACTGAACTTTAAATCTAGGCAGATTGTGACTCCTGCTTGTATGAATCGTATATTTTTGTAACACACAACGTCGCTCTTTGTTACAGATCCATCCTCATCATCTTTGGATTCACGTCAAAACGGGAACGAAAATGGTATGTTATATGTAAATTTTGGATTTTTTATCTTTGGAATATAAAACAAAAGAATTGAAAAGTTTAACCGAAAGTTAAGATATTTGTTGGCGCTAGTACATTTTCATACATAATGAGAATATGTCATAAACATTCAAAATGATAGCAAAATAAAGTAACTAGGTTGACATCTATTATGTTTCAAACTTAACATCTGTCATTTTCGATCTAATTTAACGCACAATAAGAGCATAGCAGATATAGTTTCATGAAATGGAGCGATCCAAGCAGGTAGCAGTAGTATAGCGTGAATTTTCCCGAAACTCGTTTGCAATACGAGTTTGACGTTATCGGATGGTTATTAGCTATATATTAGATCATAAAGTAACAATGGATTAAACGAGCTTAGTGATGTATTATTGGATGGACCGTCAAAAGACCCTTTGAACGACAAATAATATTATCAGGGCAAATGTTATTATCGCATATAAGCTCCGGATTGAAAGAAAAGTGGAATAAAATAAATACAGAAAAATCTGTGTTGCGAGTAATATAATAAAACTAATTTTTTAGCGTTATTTATAGAAATATATTTGGATGTTTACAATTTATAGGTTCTTTTCTTGTTAGATGACTCCATAATAAACAATGCTGTAAGTGAGGTTTAAAAGATATGTCTACATTTAACTTAATATTATCGACAAGCTAAGTCTCTTCTTTCTTTTAAAAACTTAGTAAAAGCTCATTACTCTGAACTATGAATTCTTATGCTTTTCTTTTTCCTATTTTACTTGAAACTTTGGTTTATTTCATTGATGTATAAATGCCTCGTTCCTCCCTAATAAACATATTAGTGATTCATGTACACCTCCCTCTGCTCTCTTCCCACTGCTGAGTAAAGGCCTCCTCTGTACAGAGATTTATTTACAAAGAAATATGACTAAGGAAATAGAGAAAAGAGTATACATAATTTCGATTTCCGATTAAATTACCTAAATAATATCTGTTCACGTGTCTGAGAAATTTTAATTTATTTTAATTTAATATAACTTATTTTAAAAATATACTATTTTAATATTTTAAATATTTGGACGTGAGATTTAAACCCCCAAACTTATCCCTGGTTACGCTCATGATTCTAATTTGAGACACGTTAGTTAGCAGCTTTTTAAAATTAGCGATTATCTTGGTATTTTTGTCCGATTTCCACAGACCACATAATTTGGTGGAATGTGAAGACTCAATTAGACGATCAGAAGTCCACAGTATCTGCTCGATGAAAGCGCCGAATGGCGACGGAAGCGGACATCCGCTCTCTGCTCTGCGCCAATATTTGTCCGATCTCGATGACTCGACTGAGACACTTGTTGCATTCGATATTTCCGTGAGCTTCGCAATTATCTTGTAGTTTGTAATAGAACGATCAATGTATTTTAGCATTTCTGTTTCAGCATCAGTCGCAATATTCCTTGTCAATTCATATATAAATACGGTTGCGTTTAAAGTACGGTATTTTATCCTAAAACACGTTTAGTCATTGACATGAAGAATTCTCTGTTTAATAGTAACAATATCTGTAATCTAGATGTAGCTAAACTTGAAATCTAATGAGCTATTAAGATAATGATGGCAGGTTTAATATTTGGAACAGAGGTAGACATAGATAAACTTTTAGTTTTGCTTAAGTATTAAACTATTGTTACTGTAGGCAATCAAAACGTAAGTTAATATTAGTCTTAATATTTTTAGAAACATTTGATGCCTAAAATATTAAGAATAATTTAAAGTAAACGTTAAAAAAATATAAATAAAGAAAAAATACATAATGCGACACCTTTTAAAAAGTTGCTTATCGTAACAAATTTATTGTGCTCTATATCGTGGGCCTTCGTACATAATGGCATCGCTATCAGTGACTCCCTTATATTATAAACAAATACAATAGCGTTTAAATCGACATAAACGACCTTTATTGTCTTGATTTAAGTAATTTATGCCGAAAGAAACATGTTAATCACGAAATAACGGTGTCCCTTTACTAATTTAAAATTACAACGACACGTTTTAGTTGCTATTTCATTCACGGCTCTCTCTACTCTCTAGACGCGGTCTGAGATTGGTTCTTTTTAATGATTTTATTTTTTAAAACTTAAGTTGCAATATACTCAGAATAGTGGGAATCCAGAGGATATGCAAGTGTTAACTAACTTTTATTACATTAACTTCGTTTCGTTATATTCGTTAAACAAAATTGGATTATCAATCAGCCGTCCATTAAATGTTGTAAGCACAAGTGAAAAGCAAGAGCTGCTTCCACGCGTACAACAGTGTTCAAGATATTTTTAACTAATGTAATTTTGACAACTGTTGGTTCACCCAATTTTCGCTATTTGGCGATTTAGCCCCATTCTTTCATATAAAATGAGAAAGAGTATAAAGTTAGGGCATAAATTTTACTGGTTTATAAATAGAGCTACAGAAGTGAATGTAGTACGTATAAATGTTGACTTCTGAGTATTTCTTAAGAGATTCTGAATTATTTAAGATTTTTTAAGATTTATTGGTGTAGATAATATGCGTTGGTGATAAGGGTACGGGATTCTGTGCGAGCACTTTTCAACAAATTTATTTTATCTAAATATTCTTTATGCAAAACTAATCTGGACTCTTAAGACGGATGAGCCCAACATGATCAAAATCGTTTATAGACTAAAAATTTTCAATATTTATTAATTTATTATGCACAATCTTTGCGGTATATTGTTGCGGAAAAGGTTTTTGTGAGCTATCGACAGGTTTGGTATACTAAATGAATATTAATAAGATTTCTTGTGAGAGTTCCTCTGTGGCCTAAAGTCAATAAAGGAAAGATACATAATTATATAGTATAAGATCCTGTGCTGTTACAGTATTGGCCTCTTCCACCCTGTTGCTTTAAGGCATTGACATCTTTTTATACTTTTTTGTAAAGGTATTACTGAAAGGCTAATCTTTACATAGTATAGAACAAAATCGCTACCAATGTTTGTACGCTCAGATCTATTAAACTGCGCAACGGATTTTAATGTACAATTTTCAGTAACAGACTGATTCAAGCGGAAGGCTTATATGTAGTATACATGCATATTATAGTAGAGAAGCAGAGAAATTCAATATCTACATTGTACCCGTGCGAAGCAGGCGCGGGTCGCTAGTTTTTTAAATAAACATATTTTAATGCGCGCCATTCACTCAATTTCATGGACAACTAAAAAACACAAGATGACACTCTGTTTGCATTTACTTCGGCGGTATTTCTCCTAACTGATTAGATAAAAATGCATATTTTTGTAGTTTCTTCTTCTATTCTAAAAAGAGCTTTATTAATAGAAGTAAATAATTCAAAATCAATTCCTGCCTTGATCCCGATCCGCAAAAATAATATTTAAATCAAAGATAATCACATATATTTTTTAATTTGTTCATAAGCATATAGGTACAATTCCTTAAATTGTTATTATAATGTCTGTCAAAAGTAAAATATAACAAATGATAAAAGTGAAATATGCAGTTGTCGTTTTCTTTATCTTTATTTGTTTAAGACTTTACTTTTTGCATAATAACTTACAATGGCGGACTTAACACCATTATGTGTCCTCTACCAGTCAACCGACATATTACATATAAAGAAAATAAGGAGGTGCGAGAGAGCCAAATGAGAATTAGTGAAAAATAATATAATTTTATATAAAATATATACACATTAGTTAGATAAACATACACAGTTTCACGTTTAGTATTACAGATTTTGTGTTCTAATTTGTAAAGTTTCTGAATGTGGCTCTTTGATTTGTATCTATGCTCTGAAATAAAGTCATCATTAATTACGTCGTCAAACTTAACTTCAACTTGAGTGTTCCATATAGTCAACAAGTAGAACCGAGAAATACACAAAGAACTCTTCCGTCTTCACTACTTTTAAATAGAATTTCGTAAAAAGTTCTAAACAAGGCGTGTTAGAAATTCGTCAATTATTAATAATATTTATTTTATTCTAATAAGATGTAATCAACAAAATATACATTATTCTGTATTCTAAGTACGTTTATTTATTCTTTTTATCACTTTAGAAAGATCGAGATAAAGGGTACTCGATTTTTTTTTCATTAAAAAAAAGTTGTATTCAGCTTTGATTCTATGGAGAATAGCTATTGCTATTCCTGTGTCCGAGCTTATTTTATGTCATACGTTTTAATCCATTTCTTTGTCTTGTCGTAGCGGTCACAGATGTGAACATTTATTTATAACATTAAGTGGCATAATCCACATGATTAAAAGTGGTAACTTTGACCCTGAATGCCTTATGTGCCGTCTCTAGTATAGGCTTTCAGTTTTTGTTTAATGCGACCTACAGCAGATACTTTCCTAGATTTGGTATATCTTGGTGGACGGATATGTATCCAGTGAACACGTGTTTCCCTTTTTTGAATATAATCTGAGACACACGAGACGTTGGCTGTAAGCCAGTTCCATTATTTTATTAGTAGACGTATTGTACAAATTCCATTATAGGTGCCTTTGTAGTAGAAACATCTTTTGATAATACAATTTATTTTCACGTGGTGCAATTGCTACGCTGTTGGCTTGTGCGCCGGAGGTATTGTGTTCGATTCCAATACGGGACAAGTCATTGACTGACACACAAATATTTTTCCGATCATGGTGTTTATTTGGCTGAACAGCCAGTCCTCCTTAGAAAGCCAACTAAAATAATGTTGTGATAAACTCATCAAGGTGGGATAATGGCATGAAAGATACGTTTTAAAGAGTTACGTTTGGAGTATCGGAAAATTTTATGGGACGATAAGTCTTTCGACTTTCTCGTTTTTATGTTAGAAGGTGGCAAGCGAGCTGGCGGATCACCTGATGTTATGTAATGACAGCCGCTCATGCACATTCGTAACAATTTTGTAGGGTTGTAGGTGTGTTGCCACGTATTAATAAAGTCAGCCCCGGTTACATCATTAACTATGGGCTCATGGAGTGACGTGTCCATTCTAACAGTGAAAATTGTTGCGTCCCCTGCCACTGTTAAATTTAGCATTAGATTTGGCATTCAATTTTATTTCTTCAAATTATTTTTTAAATCGCATCAAGGAACAAATAGTTATTTCAACAATAACGTTTTGGTATCATCAATTATCTATCAATCTTTTAAAATATTTCAATCAAACAGATATAGAAAACAAATGAAGATGTTTAACAGTTATCCATTAAGCATAATTATATTCTTCTTTCAATAAGCTTTGTAATTTTATGCAAGCTTTTTTAATAAGCATAAGAAAATTTAAGTTATAGAGAACTATGAAAAAGATTATCAGAAAAATGGTTCACATAGTTTGCCTAACCGAGAATATTACCCAAGTTGTTTGCCAACTTCTTCAGTCTAATTAAGCGCCGTTAATTTCGTGAACGTGACAGATATGGGTAACAGGAAGTTCGGCAGCGCGCAGCAGTGACTGAGCCACTTCTATCATTTACAACTTACAATTCTTTTTAACTTTTATATTTAAAATTCCTAATATTCATAACTTCAAGGTATAAAAACATTATGATTAATAATTAGCATTCAATTTTAAAAACTCATTTTATTTGTTTTGAAGGAACTAATCAGACAAGAATTAAACTTTAAAAGATTTGAAAGTATTTGTTTGGTGTTCTAAAAATTGTACATGATCAGAGCGATGTTATGAATATGTATGTGATGTAAATTAAAACTTAGTTAAGTATAAATGCGAAGCTAATGAAGTTTATATAAAAATAAACTCACTAGCTGTAATTTTTTTCAAACCACGTTTTTTTTAATTTTCACGATAAATTAACTAATTGTCGAAAAAAAAAAGTGCTCTCTAAAGTGCGTTGATTATTTACATAGAATGGAATAGCAAATCCAAGGCAATATTAATCTATTGTTATCTAAAAAACTTATTTTTGTTTTGTAATAGTAACTAATGTTTGTCTTTAGAAAAAAGCGAAAATACCTTATTCTTTTTACTCTTCCAATTGTATGAATGATTTTATGTTGATTTTGTTATGCTTAAATATAAAAAATGTTTAAAACTTTTCCATTTTATGTTCAAATATTGTTTGTGAGTTTTCGAAAATTCGAACGTAAGCAAATACAATTAATTACAATTGCTCAAAACACGTAAACACAAAACGTGAGCAAGCGTCACAAAGGACAAGTGGGCAACACATAAACGGCGAAAGTTTGGCAGAGACCTCTACAAATAGGGTTCTCCCGAATAAGTGCTCTCGAAATCAAGTAAAATCCTACCGCAAAGCCCAGAAGGCTTTATGTTAAAAGGACATACACAATCGCTCCTCGGAAATTAACCGGCAATTAAGGTTTGCGCAAATTCACTTCAAAACGAAATATTTAAATGTCCTTCTTACTTTCCTTTACTTACTGATGCTTTAGCTAAGTTTCCTGTGATGACATGTCGTAGTTAAACGCACGCATGAGCACATGCGCGGCCCTACCCACAGCGGAGGGCCCAAGCCCGTGGGTTCTGGCTAGCCCACCGGTTCTGCGTCAGATGAAGCTTTAATAGTCTCGGGACTGAAAGCAAAAACATCAGTTAATACAAGAGAAGTTTCCTGTTACATCAACTTTTACATTAGGTATCATGCAAATTTTAACTTTTTATATCATTATGGATAAAACTATGATGATAAAAAAATCTAACCTTTAGATAAAAACGTTTGGTCGAATTTGAAAAGTTTCGAATAAAACTAATTTGAAAAGGGTTGAGATGGTATTATATTTAATATTGAGTATGAATATGATAACAAATTCAACTTTTATTATTCATTCAAAATAAAATATTACCAACAAAAAAGCTTCAAACAGCACATTTGAATCTAAATGATTTAAATTTTCTGTCCTATATCTATAATAATTCGCACCGTGCGTAGAATAACGTTCTGTGGTCACATAGAACGAATTTGATTTTATCATCGGAAAGTCTTAATTATTGTCTACGCTTTCAGGTGACATAATTTTTTTTCGTCTGACATAGATATTGAGATACAGAATAGAACAACGTTCTATCTGATTTATGCTCCGCAGTCCAAGGACATCTGTACGTTTAGACACTGTTTTTTTGTAATGACTAGACTAGGCTTACTAATTTAATAGACGAGTATAAAATACTCTATTAGAGTCAATTGATAATTAATGCACAGTCACCCACTTTTTATGGTTTTTTCGTTGAAAACTGTGCTACATGCGTTTGTATCATACATATTTTCTGAGTTTTTAGTAGAACAACGTTATAAATGAACGTGTGACCCATTATTTTTTAGAATGTTCCGTTGAACAACGTTATATAAACGTGTTTATGTGATCTTGTGACCCATTACTGATTGCCATTTTCCGTAGGAAAACGTCAAATCGTTTGTTAATATACCTAATTATATCACAAACCTCAAAAATTGTAATAGCAACTGCTATGTATAAGAAAACTATAACCAAAATAAAAAAATAATAATTTGAATCGCCCGTCCTGAAAAATTACAATTTTGCAGATGTCACGTTGTTCTACACAGGGTGCGAATTGCAAAATATGTAGGTACTTTAATTGTATTATACTTTACCAACGCAGAAAAACCCATGTAAGCCTGGACTTTTCGAATCAGATGACATTTTAAACGTAAATCCTATAAAGAAAATAAGTGAAAAAAAAAAGTAAATAAAAGAGATTATTGTAAGGTCGAGAGGTCTGGCTGGTGATCGCTGAGTGGTATTATAATCTTTCGTAGACGAATATCCGACGCGCATCGGAAAGCTGACAAGGCGCGCCCGCTCTAAAAGCCCACCACGGCGACTTAATAGGCTTGATAAAAACAATTTTTCGTGGCCGGGATTAAACTCGGCTCGAAATTGTCATTAAGTTTCTAGGCAAATTTTAAATTAAAAAAAAAATACAAATAATTACAAAGCGATTCCATATCGCAGTGCCGAAGATGATAGTTGCGTATCTAATCTGCTATCACAATTGCTCTCGATGAATATATAAATATCATAGTAATGCGTTCCGGATGTATATTTTATGTTAGTAGTTATGTAAAGAGAGATTTAAATTATATTAATATTGAATGTTCGTTTATATTACATTCCCATTGGCATTAAGTCCACCTTTGTTTAAATAATTAAATAAGACGATTTCCCCTGAATTGTGTGCACCGAAATGCTTAATACTTTAGTGGTATGAAGGTTAATTAAATGCATACACGGATCATTTGTAGACAACAACGATACTTCATTAAGGAAAATGCGAGCTTTAAGTAAAAGTTTTATATTTTCTTACAAACTAAAAAATAAATCCCACTTTTCAGAAAACGAAGGAAAATAATTTAAAGGCATAAGATCTGTTCTGTGGGCTAATTGTAATTTAAAGTGACGGGGTATGGTGCGTTTTTAATTTTATTTTATTTATGAAGGCATCATATTGTGTATTCTTTTCAAGGATTTTAGAATTAATGATATTTTTTATACTGTAAAAATATTTATTTGTAAAGAACAGACGTAACTGGTGTAACCTCTGATGAAACTTAGTGGTGCTTTTAATTAATAAATCAGTATTTTATTATATTCAATTTGAAATTCAATTGACAAAGCTTACAAGCTTTTATTAATTAGTCGTAAAATCTAAATAAATGTTCCGCGATTATATAATCCGTTAAGTGATTTTATGACATTATGTATTTATGCAATTCGTTAGTTATCTTTCATAGTTTTATTTTATTGGAGTTTAAAAGTCCCTCCTGGATGCTGTAACATTTTGAAAGCGCACCCTACGCTTTAACAATTTGAATTAAATATCGCAATAAAATCCAAAAAAGAGTTTTTCCGATAATTTACTTGTGCAGTGCAAGATTATTAACTAGTTCGCTCGTTTCTAATTCAAAATACTCGATCATCGGTATGTGAGTTGCAGTTCAAAACCTGTTGCGGCAATAATGAATTGTATGAATTTTAAGTGCTGCCCGAGGAAACCTTAATTTTTTTGAAATAATAACAAATAAATATTTCGAAGTTATGCGAAGTCCGCTAGTCCGCAGGGGAGTCGCACTGTTTATCCAGCAGTAGGATACCTATAGCCTGTTACTTAAACTTTACTTAAACTTGCGCAGATGTGGTGGGCTGTGTGGTGCGTGGCTGTGGTGGCTACGGGGGCTTTATCGGTGGCGGCACCTTCGGGAAGCGCCCTGGCCCCACTATCTGCCGTCGACTGGCAGCAGTTTGACGCCTCCAACAGTGATGACGTAAGACCAAAGACATCCTTAAGTCTAACCGATATAGCCGATCGCATGATTGCATGCGTGACGAAATTCGGCTATCCTAACATATAAGACGTGTCGATAATCGTAAAGCAACGCCGTTTTCAGCAATCAACACAACTTGGACTCATAAGTTCTGCATAGTGCTAATATAGTTGCGACAGTACTTTTTATTTCGTTTTAAAAAGGTTAAAATGATGAACGAATTGACACATCGTCTAACCAATTAAAATGCCGTTCTCAATTATAGTGCGAAATGCAAGTAAATAAATCCGTGTTCCTACGAATGACCTATTTGATTGCGACAAATTGACTTTTTACAGTTCAAAGTTCTTTTCATGTTTTTCGTAAAGTGTAATTCGAATATGTTTAGTTTAATTTCAATTACCTAAACAAAACTAATGGCGTTCAATTTATTTTTTGCAAAAAGGAAAATTGTGGGCTTTGACAATGATGTAAAATGATCATGCAAATGCATTAAGAACAAGTTAAGTTCGAATCACAGAAAATGTAAAATTTAACAAGAAAGCGTTTATTCACAAAGCGCATATTATAATTGTAAAAAGGTTATCTCGTCTGCGACTCTAGGGACTACTAATATTCATGACTTGAATCTAAGTACTGTCTAAGACAAGGGGTACAAACTAGTGAGCTATGAATAAATAAGTGTACGAAAGCTGTCTTCTGATATTTTGACGTAAGACCTATTTATGGTTATTTTGAAGCTTAATTTTTGAAATCTCCGTGAAAGTTCTGGAACGAAATATTCGTTCAAAATTAGGAATCCAGAAATTTGATATTAGCACGCGTCAAAGGGAGGGCGGAACGCCGTCTGCCTCGGGCGAACGAGTATTTTGTTGATCTACTCCTTAGTGTACCCTGTGCAACGTAGTTGCGACGTGGAAAATTGGCAACCTTAGGTCAAAAATATGTTAGAGACTTGTGGCAGTTTAAATGTTCGTACGAACAGTACACTGGTGTAGAACTGTGTTTGTTCGTCTTCTATGATGTTCAGAGTTGACCTAACTTCGTTTGTACAAAGTAACATGAGAGCTTAGCTGGACATTAGAAATATTTTGATTATCTTTGCAGGATTTTTTAATAACGTTTAAAACTTATTTAGTCAGAATCAGATATTATTGGCTACAAACTTTATTTTAGTTTAATTCATTTTACATGTTATTAAAATAAATAAAAATAAAATAAAAATAAAAATCTTTTATTTCAGGCTTAAGAACCCATATAGTGTTAGTAACCAAAATTTTGATCGATTTGACCAAGTGAAGCGATATCATCCGGAAGTAGGCATGTTTCTTGTAGTGCTAAAAGGTCTGCAGACTGACACATTAATCTTATGTCCTCAATAGAACTTGCCAAAGATTTGCAGTTGAAGGTTATAAATTTTACTCTAGAGTTATCTATATCCATATTTATTTATCATTATTCTTTGAATTACCATAATTCTTCATAAATCTTCTGAAAGTCACACCTTCAGGCCACATACTGTCGTCCAGGAACACGGATAATTTATTTTTCGGCACATATACAATATATGCATTATACTGTCTTTGCTCCTTTGTATTTATTTTTTTGAGGTTCACAGTTATTTCAGATTTCACTTTTATATATTCAATAATATCTTCCTCCTTTGTATTTATATCTACGTAGTTAATAAATAACGGTATCTTTACAACCGCAGCTCTAAACTTCTCCTCGGAATTCGAACAAGCTTTGCCTTGCATACTCACAAACCGGTTTCTGTACCGTTTTTTCTGAACAACTTTCCATTCTTCATTACCAGTATCTTTATTGCAATGCTTTGGATCCTGTATCTCCTTCACTATTTCAGATATTAATTTCTCCGGCCGCATCATTAAATCCAACTCGGAACTCTGTACAGCACTGTTGTTATTAATATTATTAGGACGCCTTGACAATCTTGACATTGACTTTTCTAACGTCAGTTGATCCGTAATGTCACCTGTATCATGTTGCAATGTCGTTGTCATCAACTGACCTATGGGTGAGCGCGACGGTGGATCGTTGTGAACGTCGCTGCTGTCTCTGCCGTCGCCGGTACATGATGACTCATCGACTTGATGTGTTTGCATGTGGGTAAGTCCAATAGGTCCACTATCCAAACAATAACTGTTATGCAAACCACCGCCTCTTTTATGATTTACAAATCTATCTGCATGACTAACTAATGACGCATTTTTCATATATAATAACTCTGACTTTAACTCCTGCATTTGAGTCGTCGTGACATATGTGTCTTTGATATTCTGTAAATCGGTTTTGAACACTATTAAATCCTTAAGAAGTCTTGATGCATCAATGTGGTCAAATGTCAATGGTGGCAATTTTTGTAAGTCTTTCGCCACAAACACAGGTAATTCGTCGGGATTTGACTCTTTAAAAAACCGATATAACATCATACAGATCCTTCATTGATTTCTTTCCCTTCTTTCTGGCTATTTTTCTTTGAGATATCGCCGTAAACAATAAGCTTTTTGCAGAATCAATATCCTCCTCCGAGAAACTTGACAGGCACAAAGTCACTAAAGATTTCTCGTCCATAACATCTTGCTTGTTTTGGATGAAAGCAAGAAGCTCGTTTATAACAACATTACACGACGCACATTTTAACGTACTAGCTGCCATATTGACTGACAGCTCAAAGTGACAACGTCCACTTGCTACCGCGCGTGACGCAAGACTGTTATTATAAGTTGTCAAACGAGCAGGCGGTTCACCTGCTGTTAAGTGATTACCGCTGCCGATGGATATCTGCATCACCTGGTTGTTGTCGGTAGGTTGTACATGCGTAAAGGGGGAGGGGGGGGGGGGGGGTTAAAGTTGGAAACAGTAGTAACGTGATATATTATTAAGTTAAAACGATAAATTTTTCAATCTGTCGCTATAGTCTTACCATTTTTAAATAATCATCCATACACATGATCAAGATTTGCATGCTCAGTTGCCAAGGTATTGGCTTAGGCACGGGGCTCGTTGATTTGATTCTCTCTCAGGACAACTACTTGTGTGGCCCACAGATCATTGTTTCGAATCTGAGTGTTTGCCCACGTGAAATTTATATTAGATAGCGATTTATATTAGAAGTATGCATACCTTAGGGTGGCAACGCACACGCAAAAAATTATTTTGCGGTTAGTCATGGGGGGCAGAAATCGCACTTCGGTAGTTTGGTTACTCGTTTAATAACCCATCATGAATGTTTAACAGCTACATTTATACACAAAAAGTTTTTTTTCCGTAGAATGTTAATCACTATGGATGTTCGAAACGATACGATCTTAAAAACCGGCCTATGTATTTATTTTCATGTATTAATTTATTAGGAGTACTCATTTATTAATCATTTATGCACTGCACTTCTCATTTTATTAGGAGAGCATGGCTAACGCCTTTGGACCTGTCAGCGGGCGTTACTCGGCGTCCACGCCCTGGTTCTACCTGCTTGCCGACGTCCCAAGGGAGTCTCAGGTGAATAGCGGCACATTATAATTTATATTTATCCACGCTTCTTAGCCCTTTTGTATCTGGGTTTCGGTGAGCAAATATGTACAGGACAATGACTGATAATTGTTCCCCCTTTACCTCGCCGTTTGGCATCGCGGGGAACCAAATTAATTAATCGAGCTATTAAACAATCATCCGAAACGATTCGTTACTGGATTCGACTTTGTTGTTCCAATCGGCCGCGATTTTGCGAGGCCTTTAGTTACCGCCAACAGTTTTCTCTGTAATTAGCACCGTAAATCAAAATGTAAACAAGTTCCTTTGTGTTTCCCAATTTTTAAGTGTTCGAGTTACCTCGGCGCAGAGGAATATTTATTAGGTACTTATTTTATAGATTGAAAACATCTGAATTGTATGATTTTTTTAGCTGTGAGTGCTGAGTGTAAGTACGTGCGCTCGTTTCTAATTCAATATACTCGAGCAACCCAAGTTTGAATCCCAGTGCTGGCACCAATGATATTGTTAATTGCAATTTTAAGTACTGAACTAAATATTGTAAGAAAACCTGCATATTTTCGAAACAATAATTAAACAAAATAATTCGATGCTATATGATGTCCACCAATCCGCGGTAGCCTGGTAAATCATACCCTAATACCCCCTGAACAGACGACGTTTTTGCCCAGCGGTGGGACATGTTATATATGTTGGTACTTTTTACATTTAAAAATGTGAAATATTAATGTGAAGAAATTAATCGATTGAGACGTTAATAGAAGTCATTAAAATATTGAGGTCATTAGCAACAATCCTGAAAATAAGTATTTCTAAGGAGGTGTTTGTAATTATATTTTGGTGTAATTAATCTATTTCCCTCTAATAACAACTGTAAAACTTCATCTGATCCACGCTAAAATTTGCCAATGAATGACATAATTTACCGAGTATTTAACCTTTGTGTAGATCTTTCTAGTAGTAAAAAAACTTTCAGTTAGTAAAAAAAATCATTACTCACCTCGTTGGTAAATGTACTATTCAAGAGAATGAAATATAAATAAAAAAGCTATGAGATGTATGAGGGAATTGAGGTCAGACCGCAGTGCTCTAAAGTTATGAGTGTGTGAAGGTCGAAGGTAGTGAGACGAAGCGATCCAGAAGTGCTTTCTCCGTGTATCCTGCTATGGAGGTGCTGCAAAGGGGTGCATACAATAACTATTTAGGCCGGCTGGCCCACGCCAACAGAGATTTCCTCAACCGCGTCGGAAAACGAGGTCAGTCAAAACGCTAATAATTGCTATCAATTAATTATTAATGATATTCTATTAAAAAATGTGAAATATGTTAGACACACATTTAACCGAAAATTAAACATTTTGGATCGTTATACTTTTAGAGAGCAATGAAAACAGTAATCAAAGGGAATAAGTAATGGCCATTACATTTTATTTTAAATGTCAATCGGTACACCGCTACCAAAATCAAAGGGGAATCGAATAAAAAACTACCAATCTCTTATAGAAAGGTTCAAAAGGTTAAAATTAAAAATCGTTTTAATTTTTTGTGACATAATATACGCATTATTTCACAATTGAGTGCTCTAAATGATGATGCATAATCTTCTGTTTTGATTTTTAGATCCCTGCAACAGCCCGGATTGCAAACTGAAGAACTAAGAAACTGAGCCGTCATTTACTGAATCTGCGGTCCCGTGGTTGAATATATTAAGTCTTGTCATCTTACGATTATTTAATTTAATATAATATTTTTTATTATCTGAAATTGTTTATAAACAAAAGCTGTGTAATTCATAACGTAACCGTTTGAATAATAAATCGATTTTCTTCGAAATGCATTTTCCTTTTCAACCTTTCAAACTATCTCATCATAACGCTATATAAAAACACTATAAACACAGCGTTTTTGTCTTAATTCGCGTAAATTTTGATCGTGTAGCAGGATAAATATAAGATAGGCTTATCGTTTAATATCATATAGAGAGTTCGCTTTGTAAACAACTGGTAGGATTCTCGTGTAATATCTTGTAAGAAGTTCGCTTAGTAAACAATTGGGGGTGCTAATGAAATTGTGCGGGGATGAAGGATGAAGCTGGGCGGGTGAAGCGACGCATGCCCTCGCTCTCCATCGACCTGCCCATGTCGGTGCTGCGCCACAAGCTGAGCCAAGAGCAGGAACGCAAGGCGCAGGCCCTCAGAGCCGTCGTCAACAGGAACTTCTTGAACGGCATCGGCAAGCGAGGTATGTCAACATCGAACGTGACTTGATTTAAACCAAATGACGCCGAAAAATAGAAATCTCACCGAAAATTTCTTAAAAAATTATATCACTCTGCTCGAATATTGTGTAATGTTAGTATATATTAAATATAAAGTCAATAAGAGATTAAGCAAAGCACTCTTTACAGGTTTCCAGTGGGGACCGTTCGAAGAATCTGGAAGTTTATACTAGGAGCACAAGGAACGACTGCGCAGAAAACGTAGCTTTAAGAACCCTGGCTTTCGGTGTAGCTCTGTATTATTAAATTATTTATTTAATATTAATGAAATTATATTATAAGTACTGCAAACTTTGTTAGCTTGAATTTTAACGCTCTTAATTAATTGTTCGTAGATATATTTAAAGACAGACCTACCTCTATGTGTGTAATAAATAAGTAATTACGTCTCTATTGTCTTTATAATTATGCTTTTAGCCTAGTACAGGCTGTAGAGATTTTCAAGTGCCTATTAATTTATTTGTTACTATTAATACGCAATAAAAATTTGTTCGATGGAAAAGTTGTTTCATTTTAAATTATGATACCCAAAATTGACTATTTATTATTCATAGAATAATGGTAATATGGAAAAAAGCAAACGTTATTTCAGAATTAAGACAAGTCAAGCACGATAGTTTTCACATACCTCTAATATATTGGAATGCAATTACTCACTGGCTTATATTGTTTGGACAAGAGTATCAATTTTATCCGTTGTAATATTAGCTTAATTCGTCACGACAAGAGTGGGAGATCATATTATCCAATCGGGATGTATCTTTCCATTGAGTGCTGTTATTCAATTAACGTATAACTTTGTATGTGTAACTCGACACTGAGAACGAACATTTTTATATTGATGACAACGAGAACAAATCAACCCCTCGTAATTCATGTTTAATTAGCCTCATCGGTAACGTAATTAACTGGGTCTATTAAAAATGGAATAGAAATAAATAAAGCAAAGAAGGAAAGTAACCAAAATTTTTGCGCAACGTTACTTAATTAAATTAGAAAATGAAAATAATCTGAGCCTGGGTTAACACTATTCAAGAACTGGCTTCATAATCATAACATAAAAAAGGATTCAAAATTTCATAACATACGCTAAGCTGGAAACTATGATGTAGTAATATCCTTAATGAGCAATTAAGTTTGCTTTAGGCTTATAATATAATCAAGATGTTTTCTTTCATCATTAAAAAAGTTAAATATAAGACAGATTTGAAATATATAACGTATTAAAAGCAAAATATCGTATCGCCAATCTAATTTATTGAAGAAGAGAGAGACTAATAAAAAAAAAAGGCTATCAAATATTAGGAGCAGTTATTTAATGTACTTATATTGTAACATCTGTGAATGCAGAGGGAGGAATGGGTCGAGGGCCGAGCTCGACCCAAGCGCAAGATGCCTTCGCTCTCCATCAACAACCCCATGGAGGTGCTGCGACAGCGGCTGTTGCTGGAGGTGGCACGGAAGCAGATGCGTGAGGCGAGCCAGCGGCAGGCCGTTGCGAACAGGCTCTTTCTGCAGAACGTTGGAAAACGGGGTGGGTATTGACCATATGTAAGGATTTTTTTCAAGCTCAATTCACACCACGAGCCATGGAGAGAGCTATGCCCAGAATTTTTTGCGCGACAAAATCCGGCACGGGGAAATTTACCGAGGAACAGTAATAACCATAGCTCTCCGGATATGCAAGCTGAAGTGGCAATGGGCAGCCACATCACTCGAAGAACCGATGACCGGGGGAATAAAAGTTCTCGAGTGGCGACACGAACCGGAAGACCTAGCGTTGGAACCCCGCCCTCTATATGAACCGACGACATCTTAGAGACGCGGGCAACTGGTGGATGCAAATGGCAGTGTGGTTCGTTGTGGCGCTATAAGGGGGAGGCCTTTGTTCATCAGTGGACGTCTTGCGGCTGATATCATCATCCGCTGATGATGATGATAATGATTCGCAGTGATTTCTGCAGTCGCAGTTAGTACTACGGAATTTTGAAGTAGAAACTTCTTCAGGCACGTTGGAAATGCATTAATATAGTGCATATTAATACGTTGAAATTAAATTCAGAATAATAATTAATAATTCAAAATAAAAGATACTTCGTAAAAGTATTTATGAACTAGCCAAAAGTAATGTTTACAAGTCTTACAAGCACTGCGAGTGACAGTCTTTTTATAGGACTTGCTATCTATTTTCGTGCCGGATTAAGCAAGCGCAGGGCCCATAGCAATCATAAGAGTCGCGGGGAACCGGTGGATGCAAATGGCAAAGTGTCGTTCGTTGTGGCGTTCTAAGGGGGAGGCCTATGTTCAACAGTGGACGTCTTGCGGCTGATGATGATGATGATGATGATGATGGGGCCCATAGCAAATTTTTTCAAACAGCCCTTGATCTGCTATGTGTTCTTATGTACCTACAAAGTGGTAAAAAACAATTCAATCATACTTACTTAATAATTTCCACTAAAAAATTATGCTCAGACAGAGATGTGTGGGCTTGAACATGGGGGCCCCCTTTCTCGCGTGGCCCCTAGCAATTGCTACTCTTGCTATATCGTTAATCCGGCACTGATCTCCTTGTATTGCAAGCAAGGAAAAAAAACCGAGCATTTTTTAATTATGAAAATCTGAAAGTTACTTTCCTCATTGTATTTCATTAAATTAATTCACTCTTAAGATAATAAGTGCGCAATGAACGAGTTTTCTATTGACAAGTTGTTTTAAGACCGTAAAAGTAAATAAAAATAAAGTCATGATTTTCATTTTCAATTATGGCGGTTAGTTACAGTATTTGTTCATCTTGTAATAAATTTTATTTGTACAAGAAAGTGTTTCCTTTAAGCATTTTTTATTTCTGTTCATCAACAGTCATCAATTAAGGAAAAAGACATAACAAAATGACTCCATTTCCTTTCTTCTACGTATGGCGTGAACGATTTAATCAGTTTGTGGGTGGTATAACATCATGTAACATGTTCCAATAACTCATTAATGAAATAATTATTGATGCAGGTTATTTGGGCAACTTGGATTTAACCCGCTACGAGAACTAAAGTCTACACCCGCTGACCGCCTTTCTTCCACTATTCCAAGCTATTCCTTCAGACCAGGAGCAAGATGCCGATTCCCCTTTGGTTATACATAATACAGCTTACGTATAAAAAAAAGTAATATAGATGAAAAATATTGTTTCGTGCTTGCAACTTTGTAACAAACGCCTGTTATGGTTTTTTTTTCATATATCTTTAAGGTAAATGGACTTGATGTTATCAATTGCATAGTTTCTTTATATTGTTTGTTTTTTTTAATGTAAAATTATTTTTGGTAGTTAGAAAAAGGGCAAATATATATCATTATTTCCAAGCGTATTATGTCTATACCACAACGATTAGTGATTCAACCATCTGTATAGATCAGTCCGGGAAGTATTCATTCATTTTCTATAATGGTGCACGCTAACCAGCTCTAGCATGCACCATTAAGATTATAAAATTATTTGTAACTTCGAACTCTAAAAAATATACTCGCTTTTGTGCCAAATTTATTTATTAAAACTATCTATAAGCATTAGTGTATTAGTAATAATATTTAAATTAATCTTCTTAAAAAATAAAACAAAGGTTATTAATTATTTAAGACATACTCATGAATGCATCATTTATGTTTTTTTTGCGTACTTTAATTGAATTATGTAAGTAGGTACTTGTATTGTGGACGTGTTTTTTTTGTTCTTTATCTTTTTTTACCACTTGATCTCTTTTAGCATTTAAATGTAGGCAAGTGTACTAACTAGATTATAAACAGTATAAATTGCGTTCAATAAAAGACGTTAACTTGTGATATATTGTTTTCTTGCCATTCATCTTGCAATAGTAAATTGACAAAATTTTCATCAAAAGAGAATAGTCTCAATCTTAGTTATCCTTTTACAATTCGTTTTTGTAAAACACGAAATTATTATATACAGATAAAAAATTAAAGAACGATAAATCTAGGTCATAAAAACATAACCGAATCCGCGACCAGCGCGGCGACATAAATCGCTAAACAATTGCGCAAACCAAATCAAATTTTATTTTGAAACATGATGAAGGTTGATGTATTACAAAGTAGACTTCGTGAGTATATTATATAGAGGTACGTGCAGTTTTGTACGTGTTCTTGAACTCAAATATGCGTCGTCTATGTCTTTGTTACAAAGATGGCAATTTACATGAATGAAGCCTGAAGTCGCTCGTACATACCTACAGTTTTGGATAGACGTAACATTTTGTACATTGTTCGTAGATTTTTTAATTAAACCGAAATTCTATATCTTACTCCCGCGTAGTCGGATTAATTAAAAAAAATTATTCATATATGAGAGTCGTAGAATGGACTTGAATTCTTAGAATTTATACATTGAATAATTTTACTGCAAGTATTTTGTGTAGTCTGAATTAAACCGAAATTAGTTAAAAATAATAAATAACAATCAACTTTTACATATACTTTTGCATTAATTTTATTTTAACTACAGTGGATATACCTATTTTTGCTTTATGTTGTGTGCACTATTATTATTATTATTAACCGCGTAAATGAACGAGTTAAGTTCGAAGTTACATTCTCTAATTTGTTTAATATATTCTAAAGACGTCGGCACGTTTGTAATCTAATTTTGTACGTTTTGAAGCAGCAGTTTGACTGCATCTGGAAAAGGAAAACGTTGCCTTTACTTATTTGTTTCGGGTAGTTTTTAAGATTTCGTAAATTTAAATGACATTACAAAATTTAGGTTTGTGTCTATTTTTGTAGGGGTCGTCCCATAAACTATTTTAAGAGGTAGCATAAAGGCGTTATGACTTCGTGAGCGCTGAAGGCCTGAGGGTACTTGTCGCAAGGCTCCGTCTGCGAGCGGTAATTAAAGATGATTTAATTTAATGTGACACCCCGAGAGCCACGTGATTGCATTACGCTCCAGCACATTTTCAGCGTCAAGCGACTTGACGAACAATTTCAAAACGATATTATCCGAAAACCTATAAGGATGTAGAACTCCACGCCGTTAATAGAACGATATTTGTTTTATTTGTTCAGTTAATTTGCATGTGCATGTATATTAATTTCTCGAGCACGGCGCATAAACAGATTCAATGATATTGTAATTTGAGAATAATAAAACAATAACATTTGTATTCACCGTGGTTTGACCAAGGCTTTTTTTATTCCTGTGATATTTACTTCTTTTTTTCTCCTGCCCTTATCCCGTTTATGTGGATTTGGCATAACTTGTCAGTCATTTTGTTAATGTTATTGCTTAGGTTATTTTTAACGACCAGCAAAAGTAAAAATAAAAATGATCAGTCTATACATGTCCCACTGCTGGGCAAAGGCCTCCTCTGTACAGTAGAAGGGTATGAAGGCATAGTCCACCACACGGCCCAATTTTTTTGTTATTATTCTGAAAATATGCAGGTTTCCTCACAATATTTTCCTTCAGAGATGATTACGTGATAATTTAGCACTTAAAATTAAGAATTCATTCAATTCATTGGCGGAAGCACAGGGGATCGAACTGATTATGCTCGAGTATATTGAATTAAAGGCTAGCGCCCGGACACTGAGCTATCACGTCTCGCCACCTGACTGCCTGATGTCAACCCTTCTTGGGAACAAACATACAATCAGTAACAATTACTTGCCCTGTGTGGGAATCATCCCCTATGATACTTGGTTAAAAAATTCAAGTATAAAGTAAAAAATAATATAAAAAGAATTATTAATTCATTAATAAGTTTTTATTAAAAAAATTATTAATAAGTTTTTATGTATTTACAATAAAAATATGAAATAACAAAGGTTTTAGGTCCGATTTGCAGGTGAATATGTCATTTTTATCTCTATAGACTGGATAGTTTTTGACATATAATTTTTACGATCAATTAGAAATTTAAGTTGTGAACTTTTGTAAATAAATGGACAAATACTTTCGGCGCTGTGGAATACGAACCAGTGTCTTTCGGATGTAATTCAATTTTTAATGATATGTCCAATTTGCGTTGTTATTGTTTCAACAATTCTTAAGCTTTTTAAAAGACATTTCATTTCCCTTTCAAAGTATATTTTATTTGCCAAAATATTTAAAGAAGTATTACCGCGCTTTGTAAAACTTTTATCATTGAAATGTAACTTTCCACGGACAAACATTTTTGTTTTTAATTAAGATTGTAAAATTCCGGTTTCTTTTGCTCCATTTTCAATTTCTGGCGCAAGATTTCATTAGATGTACGTAATATAACGTGTATTACGGTCTAAATTAATTGTTAATTTAGCTTTTCAAACTTGACAGATTATTATTATACCAAAAGTCATTTTCATGTCTAAGACTAAATTAATTACAAAACAAAACGCTATACAGTGTTTTGTTCAAGTTTATGTTTGTTGTTGTGTTATGTGAAAGTAGGTTCTTGCAACGAAACTATGATAAATGAAAAGAAAAACAATCAATACAGATGGAGGTTGTATAAATTAATAATAAAAAATGATGTCCGCCAATCCACAGTGAGATCGCGTGGTGGACTATGCTCAATGCCCTCTGTACAGCGGAGGCCTTTGCCCACCGTTGGGATATGTAGCCGATTTTTACTTTTAATATATTACTGTCCATTGACTTATATTTTGGATAGGTATTGGTTTGCGCTTGCGAATTTGTCATGAAGTTGACTTTGAAGCGGTTGTGTGTTACTGCTTAGATGCGCTCACTTTTAATTAAATCTACTCGATAAACCTACGAAATTGTTAATTTTAAGTGCTGACACATGCTCAGCGATGAATTACAACGTTGTGAGAAAACCTGCATATTTTCTAAATAATTACAAAGAAATATATCGAACATATTTAAATTCTGGCAATCCGCAGTGAGGTCGCGTGGTGGACTATGTCCTAATACCCAGCAGTGGTACATATTTAAGGGATGTATATACATATATTAGGGCTGTCTTAGGTAAAATACTTTACTTTTACTTGATAATCTGCCTCCTGAGATTCCTTCAGTCTACAGGTTTCATTTAATGTAAAATTAATATTTTCACATCTAGGGTTCAACTTAAACACAACAAGAAAGATAACGAACTCAATCGTCATACACATTTCAGTTTCACTAACCTTTTGTAGTTCTAAACGAAGCAAGCGATAAGATTATCGCCTCGCAAATGTGACACAGTGATTCATTTGTTCAGTCATTGGTATTCAGCCTACAACACCAGTGAAAATTTGCCACCCTACCCATAAAACTATCGGTAAGCAAAATGTAAATATTTTACAATATTGAATGTTCAATTCTAGCTAGCTTCTAGCTATTGCACAGTAGGAAAAATGTAATATGAATTTTTAAATACTACTCAATAACGAGCACTGTAAATTGAACACGGTACAGAATATAAATAAGTACAAAAAGTGAAAAATGCGTGCGTTCGCATAATTGTCTTCAACTTTTTCGCTTTTACAGCAAGTAATCGAATGTAGTAGATAAATTCTCATTTATAGTACTACTAGCGACCCGCCCCGGCTTTGCACGGGTGCAATGTGCATATAAACCTTCCTCTTGAATTAGAAAATTGCATTACAACATATTACTTTCCAGTTGCTCCTTTCCGGACGACTGGAAAGAAGCCACGGTTATCGGCATTCGCAGGCCGAATAAACCTGCTAATCATCCCTTAAGCTATCGTCTCATTAGCCTCCTCAGTTACCTGGGGAAGCTCTACGAGCGGCTTTTATTAAACAGGCTCAAATAGCACCTATTTTCCAGCGGCCTTCTGCCAGCGGAACAATTCGACTTTCGAGCTAGTCATTCCTGTCCCGGCCAATTATACCGCCTAACGGAACATATCCCGAAAGGCTTAAATCACCCGAAACGTATTAGCACGGGGGCTCTTTTCTTCGATGTCGCAAAGGCATTCGACAAGGTCCGGCATAACGACTTGCTTTACAAGCTGTACACATTCAAAGTGCCAGATAGGCTCGTACACAACATCTGGGCCTTTCTGTCGAACCGCTGTTTTCGATATCGAGTTGAGGGCATCCTCTCCACAAGCTGTCGCCTCACGGCTGGCGTACCGCAAGGTTCCTGCCTCTCACCTTTACTCTTTACGCTCCACACGAGCGACATACCTAAAAAGACCCCCACGTTACTCACGCACTTATCGCGGATGATACGGCGTTGTTTTATTGGTCGTTCGTCATTCATCTCCGGCCAGCTACACAATTTAACTAACGCTAAAAGTAAGATGACCTTAAGACAAAAATTATTATTATACAAGACCTGCGCACGACTCATTATGTATGTACGCATGCATGATCTTCACCCACACGCAAACTACTTGTACGAATTGAAAATAGTACAAAATAAGTTCATCCGCCGCGCAACCGGTGCGCAGTGGTATCAACACAACGTCGCAACGCAATCGCTGTGCGACCTGCACAGCGCTTGCAGACTCCCGACGATTCGCGAATATTTTAAAGACCTGACCAAACGGTTCTTCGATAGAGTCGAACATCAACCCAACCCTCTGGTGGTAAGCGCAGCAAATTACCAACCCGACACAAACGCGACCGTCAACAAACGCGTCGCCCGCAAAACGTCCTCATAGACTCAGTCGAGGAAAGGGACTTAGTTGACATACCATAGTTAAACGCACGCATGAGCACAATACTATACACCTATACATATATATCGCACTTACCGACATTGTATTTTTTTACACAAAGTTGGCAAGCGTGCAAGCGGTTCTGTTCATATTATTTATTTTATTCTGCATATTATATTTGACTAGCGACCCGCCCCGGCTTCGCACGGGTGCAATATATTTTATGTATATTTTATTATATAAACCTTCCTCTTGAATCACTCTATCTAGTACAAAACCGCATCAAGATCCGTTGCGTAGTTTTAGAGATCAGACAGATAGCGGGACGACTTTGTTTTATACTATGTCACCACTGTCCGTTTTTAAGTCAATTTTCTGCGCCATACAGTTACTTTGTGGAACCAGTTGTCGGAACGATACTACATAGAGACCTTCAAGAGGAGAGCCTTTCTCAAAAGCCGCAATTGTCAATCCTACGAAGTTGCAAGAGTCAAGATAGCGGTGATCGCTTACCACCAGGGCCGGATTTAGGAGAGGGAAACCCGGGCAATAGCCCCGGGGCCTCCACAAACGAGGGGCCCCCACAATAGAAACTTCAGAAAAAAAATTCAAATCCAGACTAGTAAACAACTTTTCCTTTCATATTTTTTTTACTTTTACCCCCGGTACTTTGTACACACATGAACAGAAAACAATAGAAAATAATTTTGGGCTAAGGCGCCTCCATTCCTTTGCTGCCCCTAGGACTCCAGACCTCTAAATCTGGCCCTGCTTACCACCGCCCATGGACCTGCTCGCTCGTTTGCCTCCATTTTTCCATTACATAAAATAGAACCCGTCGGTATGAGAAATATCAATTAAATAAGTCAAATCAATCCATTGGCCAAACAAAGAAACAAGCAGCCGTAAACAACTTCACCCGTAAGTGATTGGGGTTGCCAAGTTTTAATATGGTGGAACAAAACTCAACACATTTTAACATTCCTGTCCATTACTATCGAATAAAGTCCTAAGTTTATTGATTAAACAGATTATATGGCGTTGCTCGGTTATGGAATATCGATCAACCATCAGTCCGTAACGAGAGTCGAGCAAACTACCGATTTGTAAAATATTGCAACAGAATAGTATTATTTGTGTTTGAGTATCTCAAGAAATGGAAGAAGCAACAAGGTACGTGCAATGTTTTAGCTATTAGTAAAACGGAAAAAATTATTGTATGAGTTTTTTAAGCTATTGCATAGCTTTTATCGAATCAAAAAATTCCGTAACGAAAATAAAACCTAACACCCCCCCACTCTGCCTACCATGTAGCTCGGCCGAGCGTTCGCTTAACGACATAATATGGTACGACTGTACGAAGTTCGTACGGATGGATATTATAATATGATATTATAATATTATATTATCATATGATGATATGATATTTAGAGGATATCAAGTCTCAAAATTATGTTTCTTATTTCAGTTACCATAAACCTATAGTTTCAATGATAAAAATTCCTGAATAACCTACATGTATTGTAAGATAATAAACATATTTTAAAATTAACTTCTCATGTATTCAATAAAAGAAAAAAAATTGTGTTTTTTTTCGGTGACCACGCTCAAAAAGTGTAACTTGAATTAATATCAAAAAAAAAATACTGCATATATAAAAAATAAATAAATAATTATAATTGCATAAGTTGATAAAAAATGTTATGCAATAGCTTTACCGCGGCAATCCCCGAGTGCCACAATTGTTTTACTATCTAAGAAAAAGAAACCTGATAAAGATAAAAAAAAATTGCTTAAGGAAAACCACGTGTATAACAACAGCCTCATAAGAAGCCTTAAAGTTTCATCCGCGGAGCAATTTTTAACGGAGCAACTGTAGGTACTACGTACTGGTCAGAAATGTTAATACATGACGACTTTTAAATATTTTCTTTACTTCACTCTAAGTCTCTAGATGTAAGGTAGTCCGATATTTTCATTACACCCTTTTTGGCTGTCCTGGTCTAACACCGCCTTGTGGGCTCTCCCGGCCGGTTAAATTGTCACTAACAATTATAAACAATTGACAGCGCAAGGTTTTTCGATAGCAAAAGCCAAGATGCGAATATAAAATCAGATGAAAATCGTCGCAATAGATTTTTATCAAGGAGAAAATTATCTCTCTATCTATATAACTAAAATGATAGTGGTCTGCCGTTGTGCTTTCTTCGCGGAAAAGCTACTGTATAGATTTCAATTAATTCTTCATTTTATTTCTTAAACACTTGGTCCTTATATAAAAAGAAAATTATTGTAATATCTTTAATTAAAGTAAACTTATCAGTTATTTTTAGGATTACGTATCCAAAGGGTAAAACGGGAATTCACTGTCTGTCTGTCCGTCCGTCTGTCACTAGGCTTTATTATGAACGGTGATAGTAAGACAGTTGAAATTTTGACAAATTATGTATTTCTATTGCCGCTATTACAACAAATAATAAAAATATATTTGAGTGGGGCATATACAATAGACATGATTTTTTGGCCGTTTTTATAGATAATGGTACGGAACCCTTTGTGGGCGAGTCCGACTCGCACTTGACTGGTTTTTGTTTTTAATTATTTCACTAAAATACTTAAAAAATTAAATAAAATAGAATATTAGTTTTCTGTTTTGTTGCGTGCACAGTATATCGTATGGTAATTTTTATTTTTCCGAGGGTAAAATTTGCAGGTTCTCTTTTACTTATTTCACAGTTCACTAAAATTCAGAGAAAATAGAATTCATTATTTCTAGCCTTAACATTTGCTTACGTTCTGAGAAATAGTAAATAGAAAGAGCACTATAATTTCATAGCGTATGTGAAGTTAATATACATACATACTGAATCATTTGTGGTCTAAGATTGACTGCTAGATGTCTCGGTTAATCTCATATAGATTTTGTAGATCTTTGAAACGTTGGGTATCGTAGTACTCAAAACTATAAAATAAATAGGAGTTAAGACCTATTTTATTAGAAATGTGCTTATTTCTTTTGCTCTGTCAGTGTCAAGTTATATGTTATGTATGCTTCATGCAGATTTATATGAGACCCGTATGTTAAGCTTTGATGAGACAGATGTATTGCTCCTATTTTAAAGCGTCCAGTGCCGGTCCCTGTGTATGACATACAATATAAATGTCAATATCGGAATTATTTATGTAATTCAATTTTTATGAATGCGACTCGCAATAGCTCAGTGGCCGTTTTAGTTTCAATATGCTCAAGCGACCGGACTTCGAAAGTCGGTGCCGGCATAAATGAAATTGTTAATTGTAATTTTAAGTGCTGTTTTTGTTTTCATTAAGAGACGTGTTCTTGGTTAAGGAAAACACAAACATCGTGAGGAGACCGTTTACTACACACGTCGTTTGTAAAACTCCGAGTTACAAGTCACACATAATTATCAAATGTTCTAGTTTCTGCATTTCACCATGTTTGTAACAATCCTTACTAATATTATAAACGCGAAAGTTTTTATGTATGGATGGATGTTTGTTACTCTTTCACGCATTAATGAAACTTTACAATAATATAGCTTAGACATCAGAATAAGACATAGGCTATAATTAATATACATATTTTATATATATCTGTCTTTCTGTCTGAATGTTACGCCTTCAGCCTATTCTACGCAGACGTAGTCGCGGGCAGCAGCTAGTATTATACATTTGTAAGAATCAAAGAAGTAAGCAAACTGTATATTCAAATAAAATCTTCAGTTTCACTAATCAATAGCGAGGTTCCCATTGGCCAGCTGTAGTGAAGTTAATCTTTGCTAGGACCGATTAGTAACTTAGAACAATAGAGAGAGGAAATTCATTATATTTCTTCGCAAATTTATCAGTCACTGTATTCTGGAAATGAATTTGATAGTTTAATTTAGATATCGGTAAACAGAAAAAAGAAACATTCACCTATTACATTATTTTCAATTTCGACAGTAGCAGGCACAAAATAAATTAACAAAATAAAATATTTTTGAATGCATAAATTTATTTTTTATTTCACATTTTATTATCGTGTATGACATTATAATGATGTTATGTTTTCTAGAATTAGCAATATGGATGCTTTGCTGTTTGTGTTGATCCTCGAAGTGGTTCTTCTTCAAATGCGGATTTTAGGTGAGTAAATATAAAACTGGTCAGTGTCTAAAACTAATTAGGTGTAGTGAGTATTTTCACAATATTTTATACATGGCTGTTTTATAGATATATGTGACATATTTTGTATATGGCATTTTTATTTTGTGTAGAATGGGTAGTATGTTCCAATGTCTACTGCGACCTAGAAGATCTATTGTAACTTTCCCTTCGAGAATATTGCCTCGTTACTGTAGGATAATATTACCCCGCGCTGTAAGGACGATTTCATAAATAAATTTCACGTGGACAAACACTCAAATACAATTATCTATGGGTCACACAAATAGTTGTCTCGTATGGGAATCGAGCCCAGGGATCCCGGCGCCGAAACCAATACAACCGCGCCACGGAGTCATCTTTATATTGGGGATACATAGAATTATTATAACAGAACTAAGAACGTAAAAAAAATTATTTCGTATATTTCTGAAACGATCTCCTTAGTTACTACCATTATTCATCATCAATTTTTCTTCTTTAATTAAATCAAGTTAAGCGAAATTTCATAAAATGAACAAAGCAATAGATAATTTGCAGCAGATTAACATAAAGAGTTATTATCACAAGCCATAATATTACACTAGAAGAAGCGATGATTTACATCAATGTGATATAATAAGTGTTCGACAAATAGTCAAATTGCAACCATAATCATAATTGAAAATTTTAGACAATATCTATAATTATGTGTATACTAGCGGACCGGACAGACGTTGTCCTGTGCATATGACATTATCCAACAACTTAAAAATAAACAAATTCATTCCCGAGAAGAATTGATGTCTAGAGCATCACTTTGTTTCACTTGTTTTTTTTTTTGTTTTTTTTTTCACATTGTTTCACTATTAGGTGAAAGTTTGAAAAGTCCTATTTCCTTATTCAACTTTAATGCTCCTCAATCAGACAAACCCAATGCTAAAAGAATTTTTTTAGTCATTACTGTGTGGTCTATTTCGGAAACTTTTACTACGCTTAACGATACTAAGAAAACAAAGGATTGACGAAGCCTGGAATGTTTGAAAAAGTTACATTTAAATTAATTATATTACATTTTCGAAATAAAAATAAGTACTGATTAAACTACCTTTTATGTATGTAGGTAGAACGAGAGAATGGCTCAAACCCTAGATCAAACACATAACGCATTAACTTTTATTACCTCCGGGTACCTACTAGTAGTGTTCTAGAGCTGAAGTAATAAAATAAACGCTTTGCATCGCGTTTACTTGTGTGAATTTATCTTAGCTCATGGCTCGTATGAAGGTTTTTACGAAATAAATATTTTTACTAAAAACGAGGACATAACTTATTTTATTTTAACTTCTTATTTTACGAGTATAATATGTATTTACGAGTATCCAATAACATTTTTATTACCTCCGGGTACCTAAAAATAGATAAATTAATAAAATAAACGCTTTGCATCGCGTTTACTTGTGTGAATTTATCAATCGCTCTTACTTACTTAATATTTTAAATGAAAACCGACATAATAATTTTAACTTCTTATTTTACACATTTACCAATATAAAAAACAATAGATAAATTGTGCCAACCTTACTTACTTAGTTTATAATAAACACACATCCAATAGCTACATCTAGGGTTGCCAACCATAGTTTATAATAACGTATGCTATTTTAATTTTACGGTAAATATACTTTATACTTTTGCATAATAATAAAGTATGTGAAAATACTTTATTCTCTATCTTTACTGTGATGCATAAAATAAAACACTTAAAATGTATGTACACAAATATAAAACAGTGAAATAGAGTAGCAAATCAAAAAGATAATTTGTATTATAATATAATGTTGTCATTTAATATGTTTTTAAACCTAGAATTTTTGTGCTACTATGTGTTTTCCGAGATTTTCATTTGAAAAAGTTAATAAGTTACTTTTTTATTTAAATTTTAAATTGGGAATATAGCTTCCAAAAAATTTAAGTACAATGAAAAATCTTAGGTGTGTGCTAGAAGCTTCAACATCACTATCACTACATAATATAAAACAAAGTCGCTTCCCTTCTGTCTGTCCCTATGTATGCTTAGATCTTTAAAAATTCGCAACGGATTTAGATGCGGTTTTTTTAATAGATAGAGTGATTCAAGGGGAAGTTTTATATGTATGATACATGCATAATATAGTAGAGAAACACTGATAATTTTATAGATTTCTAATGTTGTGTCGTAAATAAACACATTTTTTGCACTTACATTGCAAACGCTGGGTGAAACCTACGAGATAGATCAAAATAATACTAGACTATTGCTCAACTTTAAAAGGTCTACAAAAAATTTATCAATTTATCAATTTATTTGTCTATCTATCTCTTAGGCATAAGCATAACCCACAATAACCATTTTTTTATCCTTTATTTTTTACGAGAAATACTTCGTATTAACGAAGCAATTTTGAGCAAAACAACCATAATCCTTATACAATTAAGTACCTTAAATACATTGTGCATTTAATATGGTCGAAATCAGTATGGCCCCGTACAGCGTGTAATTTAAATGTATATTTCGTAAGATATTACAGATTTAAACCACAGGGATATAGGTCTGGCACAACAAGCTCATATACAAGTTATACGAGTATGGACTGCCAGTTAGGCTCGTATCTTAATACAAGACTTCCTAAGTGATCTGACCTTTCACGACGTGTCATAGGTGTAGAACTTGCCTTCTTTAGCGACGACACCTGTCTCTATACGTCATGCAAAACGGCCCCCAGGCCGCGGCCATCACCATCGGTGACTGGTTCCGGCAATCGGGGCTCGTGACCAATCCCGCCAAAAGCGCGGCCGTCTTCTTCTCACACAAAAAAGTGCCCAATCCCGTTAAACTCATGGATAGTCCTGTTTCATAGGTAAAGTCAAACATATACCAGGTTCCGTCACGTATGTACCTGGCAGGTTTTCCTCCGTTAATGATAGAAGCGTTGCTAGAATTTCTTCCGCCACAGCATATAAGGCAGTAATGATAGATGAAACTAATTTTACGGATTTATCGCGTTTATTTTTAATTTTAATTCCCGACGTTTGAACCTTTTACAGCGTTCATGGTCACGGGACAGACTGAGGTGTTAGACGTCTGATTGTGATAGTTAACCAGGGCTTCCGTCAGTTTTTGAATTATTAATTTTGTGTCCGATCTATGCAGAGGAAGCTAATTGTATCTTGTGTTGCAGTCGTGGTTCGTTTGGGCCTAGATTTATTGCTGACGGTAGCCCGGGTTAATTATGACAATCAGACGTCTAACACCTCATTCTGTCCCGTGACCATGAACGCTATAAAGGGTTCGAAACGTCGGGAATTAAAATTAAAAATAAACGCGATAAATCCGTAAAATTAGTTTCATTTATAATGTGTAATCGCGTAAATATAGTTATGATAGCCTTAGAAATTCTTCTAGTCAGACCACGGCTACCGATTGAGAAGTTTGGCCCTCTCGGGTACCCTCGAATCGGAATGCTAGCAGGTATTAAGTGACAGACCAAGCCGAGTTCTCGAGAGTCCTCTCGGGGACCATTGATGCTTATCACTCCGAACCCACAACTTCCAGATTGGCCCCAGGATAACTTGTCGTATTATCTACAATTAGTTACACATTTAGTTTCTAAATTATTGTTTTATTTGGTCTCCTTTCCCAATTAAATTATAACAGATTTGAATCATTTACAAGCAAAAATACATGTTGTTGCTCCAACACACAATCTCCAAATAAATTAAACACTCAAAATATATGTGCAGACATGGGAAGTCACCTGGTCATAAAGAAAAAAAGCAATCAGCCATCATATAATAAATATGAAAATAAATTACATTCAGTTGTCAAATCATCCAATATCTCCAATAATAAACATAAAGTTATAATTGTATCGGATAATATAGGACAAGGTTTTGGTTCTTTACTTTCCAAACATGTAAATAATGTATATAATATATGTTCACCAGGTGCCAGTTATCATAACAATATTAATAAATTATTGACATTAAATTTAAATGAGAAAAGTACTATTGTACTACTTCATGGGGATAGTTCATCTGTAAGGAAACAGGAAATTGTTAATAATATGGAAATATTGCTCAACTTACATTATAAAACTAAGTGCAAATTTATAATATGCTCATTTCCATATTCCTCTTTCCTTTCAGAGGAACAAAATAAATACATATATAGTCTTAACATGACTATATATAACACAACTCACCGTCATAGTGACGCTTTCTTTTATTTTGACATAAATAGTTTTATTAAATCTAGTTTTAAGGTGACCAAAAATACTTGGTATTTGCCACTATATTATAAGAAACGTATTGCTACTCTAGTAGCATATAATATAAAAAACCCAGTTGTACATAGTACAACTAAGAATATTTTATTATGTAATAATCTTTCAGCAAACAATGTTAGTTTAAACTAAACATTGAGACAACGCCTAGGCCACTTAAATTAAATATTGTGCATCAAAATATACAAGGCTTAGGCGGCAAAGAACCCGAAATTGAATTGTTCCTTAGGAAATTTAATATACATGTCATCTGCTTCACAGAGACATGGTTACATAAGCACTGTAATATTGTTAATATAGAAAATTATAAATTGTTAAGTTCGTTCGTAAGAGTAAATGCTATTCGCGGTGGCTCTCTTGTATTAGTTAGAACTGATACTGAACTGACTATAGTCTGTAAAAATCGACAGGATATAGTGGCACACTCTGTCGAACGTTCTATTGAGTTATCCTGCGTTGAGAGTCAACAGTATATTATAGTATGCGTATATCGGCCCCCCTCATGTGATTTCGATCAGTTTGAGTGTGTAATGGATGATGTTCTCAAAAAACTATCTTCAAGTAGTAAATCATTAATAGTTTGTGGAGATTTTAATGTGGATTTTTTACAAGTAACACAACTCAGTAAACAACTTTTAAATTTATTTAATTCATTTGAACTTAAAAATCTTTTTCATGAACCAACTCGTGTTACTAATTTATCCTTCTCATGAATAGATAATGTATTCTGTCATAATGATGTATATGATAAAGATATTATAAATCATCTGAGCTCGGATCACTTTGGGCTAAAATTTTCAATAAATGAAAAAGCTAATACAAGCAAATTTAAGATCAAGTGTAGACCAGTCACTACTAATAGAATAAATGCTTTTAGAGATAAAGTGGCACATCATATGTTAAATAAAGATATAGGAGTCAATAACCCTAATGATTCTTATAGATCAATGGTTGACTTTCTCATATCTTCTTATAATGATACTTTTAAATCGCGCACAATTGTTAAGAATTCAAAATTAAAATTTAGTGACTGGGCAACAGTGGGTATATATAAAAGTAGGGATTCATTGTATGAATTATATAGTATGAGGCAGTGGAATCACGATCCTAACTTCCATAAACGGGTAGAAACGTTTTCAAAAATATTTAAAAAGTCTGTATTCAGGCAAAATCTATTTATATAAGAAAAAGCATAATAAATTCAAATAATAGAACTAAAGCCACATGGGACATCATTACCCGTATATCTGGAAGAACCAAGATATTCAGGGAACCTATAAAACTAGTTATAGGTAATACTCCCATAATATCAGATAACGAAATTGCGAGTAGTTTCGAAAGCTATTTTTCAGACATTGCGGTTAATGTCAAACGTACATTAAAATGATCTCCCGCAGACGCAATTAATGTTTTAAGAAATAATGTTACCTCTTGCCTACACACATTTAAATTTAATCACGTAGATACTTATGATATTATAAAAGTTTTGAATTCTATTAATCTTAAAAATACAGAGGATTTATGGGGTATGTCCATAAAATTAATGAGCACAATAATGCCATATATTGCACCACATTTGGCTTCTATTTTTAACAACTGCATAGATTCTGGAATATTTCCAGATCTTATGAAATTTAGTAAGATAATACCTGTCTACAAAAGTGGTGATAAAAATGATCCAGGCAACTATAGACTATTTCCATATTGCCATATCTTAGTAAAGTTTTTGAAAAGCTAATATTAAATCAACTTTTAGTTCATTTTAATGTGAACAAAATCTTTCATGATGAGCAATATGGATTCACTAAAGGCAGATCGACAACAGATGCGGGCGTCGCACTTGTCAAACATATTTATAACGCCTGGGAAAGGTCACAAGATGCAATAGGTGTCTTTTGTGACCTTTCAAAAGCCTTCGACTGCGTAGACCATAAAACTCTCCTTCAAAAGCTAGAACATTATGGCATTCGTGGCATCGCCCTCAATTTCATTGCATCTTACCTTAGTAATAGAATTCAAAAAGTATCTATAAATGATGTTAATTCCGCTGGGTCCCAGATGAAAATGGGAGTCCCACAAGGATCAATCTTGGGCCCATTATTATTTTTAGTATATATTAATGACCTCCCCTTTTATGCCAGTGGGTGGTGTGATGTTGTACTATTTGCTGACGATACATCGCTTATTTTTAAAGTTGACCGAAACGTATTAAATTATGACGACGTGAATAGTGCACTTTCACATATCCTCCACTGGTTCACTATTAATAATATGGTATTAAATGCCAAAAAAAACCAGATGTATTCTTTTCACCCTTCCCAGTATAAGAAAGGAAAAGTTTTAGTTTAATATTAAATAACGGACCCATTAATCCAGTTGAGTCTGCTGTATTTCTGGGAATTACAGTAGATTCATAGCTCCAGTGGAGTCCCCATATATCATCTCTTGCGAATATGCTGAGCTCCGCGGTTTTTGCGATTAGAAGGGTTTGGCCGCTAACAGACATCGACACTGCCAGACTTGTTTACTTTAGTTATTTTCACAGCATCTTGTCGTACGGCATTTTGTTGTGGGGTAGTGCATCAGATATAAATTCTATATTTATTCTTCAAAAAAGAGCTGTCCGAGCAATCTACAATATCGGAGCCCGGAATTCACTCAGAGATCTTTTCAAAGAGGTTAATATACTCACTGTTGCTTCTCAATACATTTATTGTAATGTTTTGTATATACGTCATAACCTTATTATTACCTAAAGAATAGTGACAGACATAAAATAAACACTAGAAATAAGGACAAACTTACTACGCCATAGTTTCGTCTACAAAAAGTAAATAAGTCTTTCATGGGGCAGGGTGTGCGCATGTATAATAAAATCCCACAGTCGATATTAAGTCTGCCGCTTGACCAATTTAAATGTAAAATTAAAAATCACCTAATGATTAAAGCATACTATACCATTTCGGAATATCTCGACGACGCCAATGTGTGGAGTTGATACTGTTGATACTCACGTAGGCTAGAATAAGACTATTGTACCTGTTTATTATATTGTAAATTGATACTTTTGAAAAAGAGCAACCTTTGAGTTTCTTGCCGGTCTCTTCTCAACAGAAACTGCTTTCCGAACCGGTGGTAACTTACGAACCTATACACATAATCTTTGATGTAAAATTTGACGATTCATAAGAGCGCGCAAGCGTCTATTTGAATAAATATATTTTTGATTTTGATTTGATTTTAAACATACATTGTATGTCTTTACATGTAAAATTGTACCCGACTTACGCGAATTCGACTTACACGGATATCGCTCGGTTCCACCTATCGCGCTAGTTCGGAGTATTAGTGTGTAGTCAAAATTATGTTACAAATTGTGGATATTTAACTGGTAAGAATGAAAATATTATGGACGCTCAATGTGAAGTCCACTTTCTCACTTATGTTGTATCGGATACTATAATATCCGTACGTCATATATATTGTAAATTGGTTTAATTATAATTTTAGCATCAATTAACAGATATAATAAGTAACTAATATCTAGATATTTTGGTTTGGCTTATGACAATTATTTAAAAGTTTATCTGCCTTAAGAAAGATGGGAATCAACACTCGCCTGTTAAATTAAAAAGTGCCATCTTGTGTGTTTCATGCATTAGAGAGAAGCGCTACTCTGAGCGCTCGCCAGAATTCTTCCTTTGAGACCGTGAATAAACATCAACGTAACAAGCTTATAAGGGATCGGTAAGCTTTATGAAATATGATATAGATGGCGTTGTACACTTTTTTTATAAATTAATTTATTTCTTTGACATTGATAGATAAGTTTTATTTTTTTCTATAATTTTTGCAATATTTTATTATATTTTTAGAATGAACTTAACATGCTATGATGCAATATGTATTACTACTATTTGAAATGAGGTACAGTATGATGAAAAAAACATATTACAGAACAATGGTCAAAGATGTAATAAGAAGAAATTTATTAGAAATTGCTGAAGAAGGTCAAGGTTTTACTGTGTACCGAGCTGTGGGCATCCTTCATGAATCTTCTACTTCCATTAAAACAGTTCAGATGAAAAACGATTATTTGTTAAAGTAAGACATTAATTAACAATCGTTTTGGAAGAAATTATAGAATAATAATTTTAACGTTATAATTCAATAAATTGATTTTCAGATTGATTGACAATACTAAGCAAGAATTGTTAACAAAACGATATCATAGGAGCGTACAATTGCGATACTGCAATGAAAAGATTGCTTCGCTGAAAGACGAGATTAGAGTATGTATTACATACTCATTCATTATATATATAAAATTAAACGCAAAAAGATTTATCGAAAAAACTTAGCTAGCTTAGATACAATTGACATAATGTCTCTTTTCTCAACCCAGGATTCCCAGATAAACGCAAAAGCGCAACTTCGCTATGTGGACAAGTGGATTTGCGCATCTGCTAACGCTCTAGAACTTCGTCATCAAATAAAACCAGCCTCGTTACCGAGTCAAGATCACGAACAACGCGTCCACGGCGAAATAGTGCGAGCTTACGAGCTACAAGTAAAGGCAAGCTTTTTACATTCTTGTCATAACCTATATTCTTATTATTGCCAGAAACTTATCATTTATTTCTTTGTTATACAATTGGTGCCAATTTTACGTAACAATTATTTTTAACTAGTATACATTCAATGCTTTGTTTTATTGAGGAATTGTTAAAGGAACGTGAAGAAATGCTGCGGTACTGGAAATTGAGGTACACGGAAGATACGAAAAATATTACCGAGCAAGTGGTACAACAACGCGAAAGGTTAAAGGCTACAATCGCTCGTCGAGTAGAATTGCAAAAATTGGTAATGATAATTAGTAAAGTAAATTAATTATATTAAATTATTTTAAAAAGTCTTTTGTTCGCCCTTAGTACTCGCGATTCGTCCAATCTTTGGCTTATTTCAATCAAAAATTGAGCAGCATACCTGTAACGAACACACGTAGTTAACACTTCCGATCCACTTTGGTTATTAAGTCGACTAAAAATTTTAAATGGGAATAATTTTGACTTTGAAAGAACAAATGAGCAGACTTTCCATCTGATGCCCTTTACAGAAATCTTGAACACCGACTCGTTATCCCGCCTATGGCCCTCTTACCTCACTTACTAAAGGAAATACAAAAAACAATTTCATTTTATGCCGGTCTTCAGCTGTTCGGGCTGAAGTTGCTGTTGCGTAATCCATAACAAAAGATATAAATGTTTTTTTACGATTGCAGTACGATTACCATGCAGGCGAAATGCGGGCTTGGTTAACCTTCAAAAAGGAACGAGCTGCTCGGTTGGCCCGCGAGCAACGTTCTCGGCTGGCTGCTACCAGGATCCAAGCTTGGTGGCGAGGCTTGATGGTGCGCCGGGCGCTGGGCGCTTTCAAGCATCTGCGCAACACAAAGAAACCCGTCAACAAAATTAAGAAAAAATAAAATTAACCACTTTATATTAATCGTGCTAGTTTGTAAATTATTGGATGATACCATTTTTATAGATTTTATTTCGTTTCATTCAAACTCAAACAGACGGAATGAGTCTAGACTCGTAACCACAGCAAATGTGGGTCAAAATTAAATTAAACGCGAATATATAAAAATTTAAAATTAAACGAATAATTAACATTTATTAAATAAGAGTACTCTAAAGTAGTTTTATTTAATAAATTTTAGTATTCCCAAAGTATAAGAACACACTTGTTAGTGCCAAATCAACATTTTAAAAAAAGAGATTAAAATATTTTTTTTGGAAAATTATTCTAAAAAAAATCTTTTATAATTTTATGGGTTAGAAATATATAATTAAATATAATTAAGATTCAATTCACACAAAGAAGAACTATTAAGTTAATAGCAAAAATAAACAAATATAAACTTAAATTTTATTAATATACAATATAGACATTAATACGTTAGCTTATCTGCTACCTTGGAACTACATATTCGTATTCACCTTGTATTGTAACGCCTGGCCGTGCCACACCCGAAAAGATGACAACAATTATTACTACCTAAGTAATGTTTATTTAAATGAGTTATGAAGAACAAATCCATTTTTAAGCGCCAATTGGCCAATTAGACACCTATCTCGTTAAATAGGACCTCAGGTGTCACGAGCGATAGGGGAATAGTCCTTAATGGCCCATTAAATTCCCCCAGAGGTGGCTCGAATTGGTCTTTAACCCACTGTGCGAGTGCCGGGGCACGTTATACTAAAAACTCCAAACTAAGTTCTCATATTCAAGCTAGGTAGGGTAGGGTTCCAAATAAAGATCCCGTAAACCCTTATCAGAACAAATGCCGACCATTGTGGGGTTTGATTGGTATGAGCCGACATAACATGGCTACTCTCTATACGGAGAGCCAGGTATCCATAATGGAGATTTCCCCTGTTAAAAAAACTATTTTGTATGTAAAATTAAAATGACAATTAACAGTAAAAATTTAATCGACTGCAAGAACGATAAAAACATTTTTTTATTCATGTATTTATTATCGTGGCGTATTATGTATTAGACGTAGGATAATTATTCTTCCGATGCCTAAATATAATAAAAAACATTTATTCTCTCTATTTGTCCTGGTAATATTCCACCTGTTTCCTTTGTAGACAGACAAAACATCAAATTTGAAGACAAGTAAGCGTTACATTGTACAAGAAACAAGTTAAGAATTCATTAACACTTAACATTAATTTTAATTATAAAATGTAAAAAACACATATTTTCTTTAAATTTTAAAGCAATGTTTATTTTCAGTAATAAATTGATGAATTATATGTATCATTTACTTATTATTGGCTGATTTCTCAACGTAATGGTACTTTCCGTTTGTGCTGCCAGCCGCTACTAACTGTCAAAGTTATGTCAGACTGTCAGGCTGTCAGTCGCCTTTCCTCGTTTAGATTGAAAGCATGTGGTAGTTTCTATAATTCCTATTTTCATTTTAATTCGAGTAGTTTAAATAAATTTATATAAATAAGGACTAAATATCAAATAAAGTATGAATGAAATCAAACAAGTGATGTGGAATTAAACGAACTGTGTCGAAAACGAGTCTTATTGACTGCATGTTGTTGAAACTTGAATTCTTGGAAAGTTGGATATTATTATCTTGGGATTTGGTGAGTAATTCTTTCTTTGTGTAACATCTGAACTTATAACGACCCGAGCCTTCATTTTTTCTTAATAGAGAGTATTGACAGTACATCGATTTTTTCAAATTGTTTTGAAACACTATTTAAGTTTTACCGGTCTTAATTTTATTTTTGGTTTGAATAAGATTACTTGGACTTACTAAAATAACACAAATTTATTATTATTTAATTTATTAATTTTATTGTTTCAAAAACTAATAATATCTAACTCACCATTGATGCCTTATACATAAGGTTTTGTTGCACATAATAAATGTAATGTAAGTTCTATTATTTAAAATTCCTTCTATGTCTATACACATGTATAGAAATTATTTATCAAGTTAATTGCTCTGATTTTACTAGTAATTTTCAACTACTGTAGGGAAACCATAGTACCTATCCTAAAAATGAGTTACTTTATGATAGTGCAAATGTTATTTAAATATGACATAACATAAACTTACATATTTACACCCAGTGGAGTAGGCAAAGTTTACAAATTGCCAAAAAAGCCAATAATTTTTGAATACAGTAGGCCTGTACAGTTACTGGTCTAAATGTAAAATTACCCCCCTTACTATAAGACTTTTTAATCATATTCATTCTTGTGAGTTTTCATTTATTTATCCCCTTTTCTTAAAGTTCTATATAAAAATATGTTATTCATAAATTCATACACCTTTATATAAATTGATAATTAAGAGTTTTCAGCAAATAACATATTTTGATTATAATAAGTACATTGATATTGTTTTGTTAGTAAGTTATTAAGTAGAATATTTTACTTATTAGATACAATTTTCTGGTTCTTCCATCAGAGCATAACTTTATACTCATTGATATAAAGTAAGTATTTTGCTTAGCTCAGTTTTACAGAGATATGCTGAGTTCAGTTTCACAGGTATACAAATTGAGGTTATATTAAAGTGTACATACATACACATCTAACTAATTTAATTGTTTAATGTCAATACACTGAAATATATTTCAGTTGCCTTGATGTAAATGCCATTTGATGAAAATGAAGTTAATGTATCTTTCTGACTTCTAAAAATATTGATATCTATCTGTAAAAGTAGCTGGTATACAAATAAAATTATTTCAACAGTTTGGGAGACTAGAAATTCCAAACACATACAAACTGTATTTGTTTGTTGCAAGGTATAGATAATAATATAACAGTAAGCCAACATGTGCCATACATCCCTCACATAAAGCTTTCTGTCGCATCACAAATCCGTACAGATCATCAGTACAGATTGTAACACCGCAGGTATAAAAGAAGTAATGCACCTTTACTGTCAACTGCATATTTGTAATCATTCAAAATAAAACACGATCAAATGTCTAAAAAATCCTAACACTATGTCCATATAATAACATTCAAATCCAAATCATCTGAGAATGTGACTTGTACGAAGTGGCTTCAATCATTGCAAGCAGCACCGGCCAAAGGGTAGCAACAGGAACGGTCGCTTGCAAGGAAGGGGTGCTAAAACTTAAATGCAGAAACAGTTTTCAAATAAAATGAAATTTAAAAAGATGTGGGACCCTTTAAGTTTACTAGAAAATACATGTTATTATTTAGTGACTGATTGAAAATAACAACAAATAATAATAGGAGCATTGTTAATGTTAAAGAAGAAAGAGTGTAATAATTAGAAATATTAACTTTTATTTGAATTTAGATAAATTTAGTAAATTTGATAATATAATTTTCGCGCTGAAAGACAATCGCGCTTCTACCCTGATCAAAGGCTAGGGCCGGCACTGGTTGCAAGGGTTGTATTGTTGTGCCCCATGAAGTCTTACATGGGACGCGAATGCCGGACAAATTGAGGACCTCGGTTGGGCTGTACTCGCACGGTGGCTCTGTAATTAGCTCTTTAATCGTCATCGCAGCGCGCACAGTTGATGCAACGCGTTTCCGAGAAGGCGATCAGGGGAGATCGCGGGAGGGGCGGCAAATTACCGTCAGATATGTGTGCCGGCCGTCCGGTAATTGCAAAAATCAGTCGGCGGCCCACGGAACGGGCTCGAGGCTTGAACAGCAGGAAGGCATAACCGCGCGCCAACTCTCCCGTCGACACCATAAGGCCAGACATTGTCTCGGATCTCAATCGGTGTTCCCCACCGCAAATAGTTTGACTATTAGATAAATGCGCAAATTTTCTCGTCCTTCGTATGGGAAGCAGTAACTTTTTAGAAGCAATAGTGTAAGTAAAGTTGTATACTTTATATAATCACTAGCGGAGCGGACAGACATTGTCCTGTACACACGACTTAAATTCCTCAACTCAGAAACAAAACAAAATTGTAGTGGACCTAAACCATTCTCGAATCGACCTGAAGACACAAAAAGTTTCATTAAAATCAGTCCAGCCGTTAAGGAGGAGTTCAGTGACATACACACGTACAGAAGAATTATTTATAATCATTATCTATAAAGCTTAGTATTATCAACGAATTAAACTGGTTAGTATAATTATAAGTGTAATCTCTCAATGGTATCGAGTCTTGGCAACGCAGGTTTTTCCCCCAATATCTATGCGTTGCAATCCTACGATTAAGTCATCAGGTGAACCACGATATGACGTTTAAACAGTAGCGAATAAAATTTTCTAACTTACGTAATCTTCCAGTTATTTATGGAAAAGGTTATGGTGCTTTTGATGCTCTAAGGACAATTAGCAGTTTAGCATTTTTTTTTTCAACTGATTTATTTTTTCTTTTATTCAGCTGCAAATACAAATACTAATAATCGTATTACTATTTACCTTCAATCGAAATAAATAACCGCATCTTTGAAGTCCTTATTGGTTTGTACTTGTATATTACAGTAAACTCGATATGTACAGATTTAAATTATTTATATTTATTACGACTTGATGCCGTTTATCGACATCTTAATCGTATCAAATTAAAATATACTTATAAATAATTTATAAGACGTAGGGTACTTTTACATTAAAGTATCTTATTACTTATAGTTTTGTAGTAGTAGTTGAAGTTTTTTTTTGCTTATTGTTTTTCAAATCATAGAATCGAACGTAAACAACGTTCGAATAATATAATTTATATCTATGAGAGCAATATAAACAAATTATCAGCGAAAGAAACTTTGTTGCTAAGATTCAGTAGCAAGAATTCATCGGCATACTCGTATATTCTGCTCGTGTGGAATTTAGTGACACCTTGAAGGCAGCCTTCAAGTCTTGCGGTTTTCTGAGTCGAGTCAATTTGTCGCTATGTGCATTGGTGTGGTCGTTAGTTCAGTTTGGATAGTCCGAAGTCTTGATGCAAATTTCTCTCGTGCTGTAAAACTTAATAGTAACAAAATTTATTAAAAGTATTAAGTTTGTACGTGCATGTTTATTACATAATATGCCATATTTTCTATGGCTCAAACATATTTATTAGCCAGATCTATTATATCGTTCTTTCCGTAAAACTTAACAAGAAAGCTGGTCGAACTGATATGCAAATGTAAATTCTAAAAATCAATTACATATAGCACCATAAGAGCACGATTGCTTACATTCTAAATTTGTTTGCATTTTAATCTACACACGTATGTGTCCAATCGACTACGTAATTGTTTCTAAATATATCATAGCGTACTTGATCATTTTATAACATTTTAAACACGCTTCCAAGTAATTCAATCTTACGTAATAGGCAGGTCCAAAAAAACTTCCCAAGTCGGCGTAAAGGGAAATATACACCACCGGTATTTCCAAGTTGTTTAGGGCCTAGTGAGTTGGAGCCACATTCGTAGAATTGTAGGACGGAACATTTAATACCTAATTCGCTGTATAAGTGTTTAGATTGCATTATTTTGTAGGTATTAACCTCAAAATCCATACACATTTTTAGTGAATCAAAAAGCTTAAACGTTTCTACTTTTTTTTATTTCCATTAGAATTAATAATAAGCATGTTTCGTTAAAAATTTCGCCTATTCAAATAAATCCTAAACATTATAATGTCCTAAAATCCTAAACATGAATTTATATGGAATGGAATTAATATGATACTACGCCCTGTATATTTGTAATAGTAGGCTTTTCATTGATTTATATAGCCAATCTTACTAAGTCTTCAATGGCTGTTACGGTGAATTTTTCTATCTACGCATAGTATTCTGAAAGAAGTACAAAAGAAAGAAACCGAAATTAGGAAACATCTGGCTGTCATTTCAAGTTATTTAAATTAGTAAGGTCCCAACCGAAGTTATCTTATAAAAAGCAAGGAGTTAAACTCTGTCCCAATCTAGGCAGTCCTGTAGTATCTCTCATATCTATTATTTACGACTCTCACTCGTATGCTCGCGTTTATTAGAATTTTTTTAATCATCAAAGTACGTTTTGCAACTGTGACAACTAAGTCGTTTTACGTGAACGAAAAAAGTTGAGGAAGGAAAAAAAATAAAGGATTCTGTCACCGGTCTTGCGTCATTTTGAATATTTGGTATTTTATGATAATTATTATTATGAGTCGTAGTTAAAATAATGTTAACAATTTTATTGAGTCAATACAGTCCAAATCCGAATAGCCTTTTATATTTTCTGCTCAATATTGTGAACCTTTTGAAGGAAGATACACAAAAATATCATTCCGCTTCGTGCTCTCGTACGGAACGGACGTCTCTCTAAGACGGAGGGCACATGCCACCCGAATTAGACGCCACTCGCAACCTCGGTTGCAATTTAAATCTTGTGGAAATAGTGCAGTAGATTAGTGTTAGTGTAGTGTTGTGCTCGTAGGCAGGTTCCTGTTTTGTAAGTAGAACCCTACACACACTTCTCGCCTCAGAGGCGGCATTGTTTCATTTATTATTATTTACTGTGTGCTTGTTGCAATAGGCGACAGCTAGGTACCCACCCTAGCGCACCTAAAGCGCAGGCAAATTAGCTGTTATTTTTAGGCACACTCCTCCCTGCCGCAAGGTGGGGAGGCTTATTTAGCTCACACACGCCGGTGGGGCTACAAGCCCCAAAGGCCCTTACGTCGCGATGGGCTCCCTTTTCGAGGAGTTCGTACGCAGAAAATGCCCCGCTATGTGGGAACGTTATCTTGCCTATGCAGCCGAGCATAGGCTGAACTCGCGCCGCCGCCATTGCCCGCGCCATCTGCGTCCGTTACCCCGTCGCCCTCCGCGACCTTAGAAGCCCCCGTCGCGTCGGCATCCGCTAACGCGAACCCGCCCGTAGCACCTTCCGTGCAACCAAACCCGACCTCTTTTCGCTCCGTCGTACCCGACTCACAATCGGACGGTGGATCGGACATGGAGGTCGAAACGACCCCCGCTGAAAACGCGAACGCCGACGGCTTCACCGTCGTTAAATCGCGTAAAAAGGGCAAGAAACGCCCCGCTACCGACAGCGACCCCGAATGCGAGGCCGCCTCAACGATCCGTCCAACCGCGACGCCCGCTAAAAAGGCGGCCGCGGCGGCAAATCCGATGCCCGAATTCGCCTCCGAGCGAAAAATAAAGCCTCCTCCACCCATCATCATTCAGGAGAAGGCTAAGTGGCACCAAATTTTTTCGTGGTTTGAACGCCACAATATCCGCGACCCCCGGTCGAAAAATACACAAATGGGTATCCGCGTATACCTTGACACAACGGACGATTTTCCGCCGCGTAACGAAATACTTGCGCGAAAATAAGATAGGTTTTCACACCTACTCGTTGCCCGAAGAACGCAAGCTTCGGGTAGTTATCAAGGGCGTCCCCAAAGAGTCGGATGTCGACAAGGCGAAAACCGACATCCGCACTCAGGGATACCCTGTGCATGCCGTCCGACGCCTCAGACACCCCAGAACCCGTGTCCCTATGGACATGGTGATGGTTGAACTTGACCCTACCCCGGAAGGTAAGGCCATCTTCAACCTGAAGAGGGTCTGTGGGCTCAGTGACTTCGTCATCGAGCCCCCGCGTAAGTCAGGTGTTGTGGCACAGTGCCACAACTGTCAGCATTTTGGCCACACGGCCAATAACTGCTTCGCTCACCCAAGGTGCGTCAAATGCACCGGTGACCACGGCACTACCGAGTGCACGCGGCCGAAAGATTGCGCAGATCCACCGGACTGCGTAAACTGTAACGCCACCGGCCACCCGGCTAGCTACTGAGGCTGCGCTAAGGCCCCGAAAACTCCCGCGAGGAAATCTCCCGCGAAATCCACGTTGCCCAAACCCGCGCCCGTTAGATTCATTCCCGCGCCCGTACCCGTCACAAACGCCTGGACGAAACCCCAGGTGGCCGCGCAGGTAACCGCGCCGGTAATCCCAGTCGCCTCACGACCGAACGCACAACAGCTGCCCGCCTCTCAAACGGCGCCGCGGCCGCAGGTGCAGCCAACTCCGTCAGTTTTCGCGGAAAACAAGGACGACCCATTCGCGCAAATCGCTAATATTTGCAGCTTATTAGATAGGATCAATAGGCAGGAACTCGCCGTATTGTCCGCTAAAATAGCGGCCGCCACATCTGGCCACGAGCGTCTTAGGGCAATTAACCAACATAAAACGCTTGTGGAAGCCCTTTGGGCTTTTACGAGCCAACCGTAAAAGACAATAGTCCGCGCAATTAAACCGCGCTCCGCCGCGTCGTTAATTAGACCCATAAAAACACCTTAATGGGAAGTACAACCGCAGATAGAACAAAACCTCGGGCTCTGGTTGTTTCGTATTTCAACGCAAACGCCATAAAGGGTAAAAGGGACGAAATCGCGGAATTCCTTCGCGATTATAACGTAGATATTTTTCTAGTGCAAGAGACATTCTTGAAACCTAGTGTACGCGATCCCAGAATCGCAAATTACAATATTGTCTGCCACGACCGGTTAGCAAACCGTCTGGGAGGCACACTAATTTATTATAAACGGTCCTTGCACTGATGTCCGCTCGACATTCCAGAGCTAAGTCAAATAAAGGCATCCGCGTGTAGGTTAGCGCTCACCGGCCACAGGCCGCTTGTACTAGTCTCAGCCTACCTCTCGGGGAACAAAACCTTATTACAAACCGACCTAGATACGCTACTCAACTTAGGCCCTTCCGTGATAATTGCAGGAGATCTAAACTGCAAACACGGCTCATGGGACATCCACAGCATCCCAAATAACAACGGAAAGCATCTCTTTAGCTTATCCGATAATT